GAACAGTGATGGTACTGGAGTGTGTCAGCCCCTTTCCATCGTTTGTGAAATAAGTTGAAAAATGCAATCCATAAAGTGAGAGGAAAAGGGTCAGTCTGGCTAAAATTCTGGGCTTTTCCTATGAAACATAGACATTAAGTTGGACTTCTAGAACTTAGAACAAACTCCAATCTTTGTGGTACATGCGTTACAAGGTGCAGTGTTTCCTTTTAGTTTTCCTTTCTCAAGAATGCATTCCATATAAAACCTTTCAAAGCGAACTTTGTACACGCAATATGGTCGATTCCACTTTTTTTCATTTTTTTTACAAGGCATAGTGTTTCCCATTGATTCGTTCTATACATTACACATTACATAAATATTTCCTTCTATTTTATTCATCCCATGTTCCCTTCAAGTAGACTGACTTTGTATATTCAATGAGTGGCATATGCAAAAAAAAAAAGTAAAATATAGATTTTGTCGTGGAGACAAAATGTAAAAACTGTTTTTAAAAAAGAAATTTCCATGTTGGTTGATGGCCAAAATAACCTAAAAACACACACCCAGTATATCCAAAGAGACCTGTTTTAAAAACTGCAAGACTCGATACATTCCGTCAGACTACTCGCAAGTAGTCTCTTGCGTTACTTTGGCCATCCACCATGGCAATTGTTGTTTTCAAAACAATTTTTACAAATAAAACTTAAAAAGCCGCAAGTAAAAATACCTGAATCGTGTCTATCTGTTTTTGACATTCGTCAATATTTTCAACATCGAATTTCATCAAACGCACAACGCCAACGGCTTTATCCAGCCAATCTGACAAGGGCTTACAGGTCTCCCGCCAACTTGATAACTTGCCATTTCCTTCTTCTTCGCAAATTCTAATGCTTTGATATAGACTATAAGACAAGTACAAACATCAGTAAAAAAAGAGTGCAATACAATTTAACAAGGCATATTTTGTTGACCTAATATCAGTAAATAAACACATTCCATGTAAAAGCAGCATTTTAAAATGCTCCTTTACAAAGCAAGCCGCCTAGTCGATAATCCCCATCGGAGAAAACAAGAGCATACATCAAAATTCCTACAACTTTCGACAAAGCGTTGACATGCATAAAATCATAGTCCGAAGACGGCCGCTGGAAATACAAAAACTTCGTAAAGCGGGCATGTCTTAGCATCCTATCGATAAAATCACAAGACGTCGAGGATTTCCTCCTGAGAACCCAATGCTTTGCATTGATTCAAACTTGTTTAAAATTCTTTTCCTAACATGTAAAAGCAAAACATCTTAACTGCTTAATATAGCTATGGCTATTAAGTCCTGGAAAGATCTTTGAATTTCAGAAATGAAGACGTCGTCAAATTATTTTTGCTTGCAGTCAAAATCTTTTCCAATAGCAAATTACTCTGTCTCTGGAAGCAAGAAAAAGAATTCAAATGCCTGAAAAGAAATATTCTTTCACCTTTTTGCTTTGTCTTCAATAGAATTTTCAAGCTCATCCCAGTTCTGTTTAAGAGTCGTCGATTCGTGAAGGACCCTTCTCTTTTGACTGGCGGACACAAATTCATATTCTTGTATTTTATAAGCTAAACTGACGGCATTTTGCAGTTGCTCTTCTCTTTCCTGCATGTCAAGCGAAGTAGCCTAAACAACGTCCGAAATTTAATGATTTTTGCCAGAATAATTTTTACGTCTTGTTCAAACTGATTTTGACTAAAAAGCACGCGCAAGCTTTTTAGATGTACAATTTATGATAGCATTCCAACATTAAGAAATGGGAGTGAGAGTATTAAAACTGCTTTGTCAAAGCAAAGCTCTTATATAAGTCAAAATATTCAGTGAGGCTTTAAACGATTCAAGTTCTCTTTTCTTTATGATTTTTGCATATGGAGTGTGGACTTATTTCGATGTCTTGAAATACACCACTTTTATATAAATCCTGGAGATCAATGCCGATGAAACAATTTCCAAAACAACTGACTTCCTACTAAATGGGCGTAGCTCACTAGAAGCTGTACGAACTTTCATCTTTTCCCAAGACGTTTGCATAAAACAATTGTGTCGCTCGGTCTAAGGCTTGCTACACTGTTGATGCAATACCGTTTTCATGCAAAAAAACCGCTTGAGCAAAAAAATATTTGCAAAAGCAGTGCAGTATTTCAAAACAAAATAATGCAGACTGAAATTTTCAAGTCACGTACAGCAGCCAAGGGGTTCTTCAATGAGACGGTTGCAGTTAAATTGCAACTTGAAAAAATCTTATATTATTTTATATAATGTTTGTTAACAGAGCACTTCTTTAACTGGAATAAAATATTTACTTATAGAACTACTGCACCTCTATGTCTGCCATCCTCCTCTTCAATTTGTCAATGTCCAAATGATGATCTTCCGTTTTAAGAGTATTTGTTACAAGATTAATCCACTCACTCAACGGTGTCACTCGGTTTCTCCAATCGATAGAAACACGTGTAGCCTCAACGTCTAGTTCAGCTTCTTTGCTCGTCATCCTAGAGAGCGTACGATTTAAATTTAATAAAATATTCTACAATATTTCTGTTTATATAATTTGAACACAAGATGACATCTGACGAGTACACCTCGTTTAAGTTAATCCGAACTCAAGTTTCAAGATCAGGTCTCTTCTTACGAGAAAATTAGACTGGAGTTTGTGAGGTTTTGAGTTATAATATCGAACATTTTTGGTTGAATACGTGTACTAGAATGGAGCATATGACAACTAAAGTTTCAACATCAGATGACTCCTGAAGAAGACACTAGATTAAGTTTCAGTATCCAATCACTCCTGTTGAAGAACTAGACTGGAGTATACAACTCCAGTTTTGCCTTCAGATCATTCCTGATAAAGACAATATAGACTGGAGTATTTAAGGACTGAACTCGCAACATAAGATCACTCCTGATAAAAAAAACCGGACTGAAATAAACAGAGACTTAAATTTCAATATCAGATCATTCCTGATGAAGACAATAGACTGCACTTTGTAAAAATTCAAGTTTCAACATCAGATCATTCCTGATGAAGACACTAAACTGGAGTATATAAGAACTGAAGCTTCAACATCAAACGAGATTTCTTAAAAGTGTTCAAACTTTCTACCTTTCCAGTTGTAGGTTGAGTTTCGCATTGATTTTATTCCAAAGCTCTTGAATAGTAAGCATTTGAAGCTCGAACATCCTACGATCTTCTTCAAGAAAGGAAGGATGCTCTTGGAGTTCATCTTCCATATCGGCAATATCTTTAAACTTGTTTTCCCGTTGTCCAATTTATTCACCAGAGCCTGATAAATTACACAAGTTTTAACTGCAAGTATACTGCAAGACAAATAACATAAACGAAGAGACATTTCTTCGCTGGCACCCATCTTAAAATGCCAATGAAACGTCCCCTTTACTTATCAAACAGCACTTTCCCCTGCACGGATTGTCCCTTACCCAATGATCAAGCAGCTACATGCCAGTAAAACTTACTAAATTATCATACCACAATTGTACCAGACTTGTACAACGTCGTCACTTAGCAACAGAGTATAATTTTACGTCTTACAAAAAGTCTTTCATTAAAAGAGCAACATGAACATTGTAAAAGAGAGGACCAGTCCAGACGTCTTTTTTCATAAACAAAACATATTCGCCGGCATGTTTTGTGACGCATGTTTTTTGATACCTTCATTACAAATTTCGAGAAAAAACTGTTCAAGGAGTGAATTTCTTGAAATTAGTTTGGACCATACTATTTTACATTATTCATAAAATTTACATTATTCATATTTCTTTTTATATTTCATATTGTTTTTATATTATTGTTTGCATTACGGTCTATTTGAAACTAATAGATCGTACTGGAGGTTCTTTTTCTACAAATTGAATTACTTTGACCACACAAAACCCCTCTTTGATTACAGCCTACACCTCTTTGAGCACACCCTACCACCCTTTATTACCAAAACGTGACTCGCACTCTATCGTCCCTCTCCAAAGAAAAACAAACATAGTCTGTGGTACTTGCTAATCTAACGACGATCGATTTTATAACATTATCCTTTAGTTGGTGAAGAAAGTATTTAAATCTCTAACTTACCTCTGCCTCACTTTTAAGTTCTCGTACTTCATCTAAATCGTTTGAAATTTCACCTAATGCCTGTATATTTAGGTCTTGAGTATTCAGCCATGTTTGAAACGCATCTGTTTTAGCTTGCCATTCTTTTAGCTTATCCTTTTGGAGCCGTTTTAATTCTTCTTCCTTCTCAGATAACCTAATTCAGATACGTAGAATACGATTGTTGTTAGTGAAACAGGAGCTCTTGTTTTGTAAAAAATAAACACTTTTTCTAAACTCTTTTGCGTAGCCAAGAGAATCCAAGCCAAGCTTTCATTTTGAAATGCAACTCTAATCAACTACCACCATTAAACAAGACCTTCATTTGAAAGTTCTAAATTATTTTTTCTATGAAGCATGATACGTGCAAAAACTCTACTGCAACCGATAAAACATTATGTTGTACTCTTTTCGTTAGAAAGTCTGTTTTTCCTTGAAAATAAATTTATGCTTCCTTCCTCATGACTTCTTTCCATTACACCGAAGTCAAAACTTGCTATTACTAGCTCTATCGTTGCAAAGAAAATTTAAAGAGACAAGAGATATGGACCCTTCACATCAAACAAGTGTTTGTGAAACGAAAGACACTGAAAGACAACGTGTCAGTTTCGTTGTTTCGTTATATACAGTTTCGTTTCCAGGTACAATCGCAAACCTAAGATGAATCGTGTATAGCTAAGACAGAAAAATGTGACAAAGAGAGGACATAGTGATATATAAGCGCTACGCTTACCGTTTGGCTCTCCATTTCATCTTCTCTTCGAGATTTTCCATATGGTGTCTGATGTTTCCAACATCTTGTTTGATCTTTCGGTTGTCTTCATTCGACATTGAAGGATCGTCAAACACTTCTTCGGCAAACAGGATCAGTTTTGTAATTCTTTTTTCTGTCCAAGTTCCAAATCGTTAAGCATTTCCTGTGAATCAAGAAGGAAACACTTTAATATCTAGAGTAGGTCATGGCAATAAGAAAAAACGCAACTTGACGTTTGCTATATAAAATAACAAAGCAAAATCACAGCTACCTCGATCTCAGACTTTTAAGCATAACGGTCTCTAGGTCCGCGGCAACACCATCGTGTTCTTTAAAAGCATCCTCCTGTTCTACCAGCATCTCTTGCAAGCGAGAAAGACTGACCTTCCATTCTTCTAATTTTGCCAACCTATCGCTATCTAATACTCTCTCTCTCTTCGACGCTGCAATAAAGAACAAAATACGTTACAACCAAGGTATATAACGTTTTCACACATTCCCCTGGGATCAACTAGATTATGGGGGAAGTGACCCTATTTTAGTTACTAAAAAAAGAACTTCATTGAAATTCTTTAGGTACAACAACAGAGCGTCACAGCACTCTGTACAAAGACATTTCCTTGCCTTCTCCGGCTTATGCCTGCCGAACATTTCTCTCCATCATTGATATCATTTAAATTGCAGTATTCACGTGAATGCAATTTACAACGAGCAAATTTTTCAATACTTTTCTTGACAAGGAAAGGAAGAGAAAGTTTTTATTGGGCTAAGAGTGAAATAAATTGATGGGATCCGAGACGAATTTTCGTCGAGATCATCATGTATAACATAATGATCTTGACTACACTTGTATCGCTAACGTCACACAAAATTTAAAGAAACAGAATTTTTGTATTTTTCAGTGCTTAATCAAGCTGCCTAGCAACAATAATGGAAGCCAAAATTCATTTTTTCCATTTTCCCAGCGATGCGTAATCTATTGTTGAAAGGCTATACGGCAGATTACTAAAAGATCCTCAAATAATTGCGGATCAAATTCAAATGGATTATGATCATCCACCATCACCCTTCGACAGACGATGAATAATTTGGACGAATTTTAATCCATTGGAAATTTCAGTAAGCTCATAAAGTCATTAGCTATGAGTTAAGTTACATCCAACATCGACAATTTATCCACTATGTTTAAGTCCCCAACTACAAACTTACATTTATAGGCTCTACATGAATTTATTGGTATTCTACAGAAGCTTCATATGACAGTGAAATAGCGAAATATGGCAAAATTCTTGAGCTATTCCTATTCAGGAGCCTTAGCTTTGATTAAAACGTCGTACAAACCATTTTCGGTTAGCAAGCATCATCATCAAAAGACTTCTCCAGGAAAAGAGTATTATTGTAAACATCCGTACTCATCGCCCATAGTTTGACCATGGTCTCAGTAAATCAAACTACATTCGACAATTCGAGTAGGTTAAATCAGAGTTGTTGCGTTTTCAAAGAAAAACAAACTTTGTCGTTCAACGCAAAGCAATCGATTTGGTTACTGTTTTCGACACGTCAGCACAGTATTCTTAGTGTGTAACATACGTCATGGCACCCATGTTGGATGATTTTAACAAAAGAATTTCCTTATTTAATATGCAAATATCATCCAACATGGCGAACATTCCATTGTTCTCTCACTCCCAGGGGGCTCACTTACAGTAGAGCCAAAGTATAGAGAGGTATAGACCTCAGCGCTCCTATTGGTCAGAAAATTCCATTTACTGATTGCCACTATGCTAACCACATGCGTAATAAGATATGTACTACGCAAAAAATGTCAAAAGTATGGGACTACCATTTGTTTCTATACTATGGTAGAGCCCCACCATTGAATTTTTTCGTGCCACACACATCTTATTACGCATGTCATTACCTTAGTGGCAGCCAGTCAATTGCTTTTTTTGACCAATAGCAAAGATGAATTGTGTGATTAAATAAATATTTTCGTACTGTCAATTTCAATGTCTATTACTATGTTTGGCCCTCAGGGGCATAAAGCATTGCCAGCTATGTGCATATATTACATATTTCTGTCGCAGGCACAAAAGTTTTCCTGCTGCTGGGAATTTTTGACATAACCTTATAGCAACAAATCGCGCACAATAACACACCAGTGAGATTAGCAAAATGATAAGGCATTGACGCCATAGATTGTAATGAATAAGACACCCCATTATGATAAATTGATAGCCATTAGCGTCAATCGAACGTTGATTTAGGGCGAACATGTTTATATTTTCTGCTACACCTGGTTAAATTCTTTTGAAAAGAGTTTCGCTTTCAATGAGCAGTATGATCACGACGCTCACGATGATAACCATGAAACTATGATAGCTTCAATGACAGTTGATCACGATAACCAATGATAATCGTCAAAAATAATTGCTAAGTTAAACAAGATGTGTCGATCAACGGTCCATGATTGATAGTTGTTAGTGGCGCATCCAGCTCAATAGTTCAGAGCGGGGAGCAATATTCATATGCAACCTGTTCATGGTTGCAGTAGTGATGTCAGTATGAGCTGGGAAATAACTTTGAAATGTCTTTTTCAACTTTCTTGACAAGCAATTTCATAAAATAATGTGAAAGTATCACAAACAGGATCAAAAGCAAAAGGAAGCACAGATCATAAACTGACGAACATCAACTACGAAATACTGAAGTGAACATTTTTTCCCTAATAGTAAGTATTGCATTGAACTTTCGTACTCACCCAGAAATACGCCATGCGACTTTTTCGTTCAATTGTTCCCACTCGTTCGCCACTTGCGTAATGTCTTGTTGAATGTTCCGTTTCTGATCCTGAGAAACCGTTGGATGTTGTGTGATCTCCTCACCAAACGCAGCCACATTCGCGATACGTTTCTCTTGAAGTTCCAACTCTTTCCTCAAGCCGAGATAATCTTGTTTGAGCTTCGTTAGGGTATTTTTATTTAAGTCGATACTTTCCATGTTTTCCAATTTTCTGTCCATCTTTGCAAACCACTCGTAAAGCGGGGAAACCATTTTGTCCCATTCTTCCAGTTTCGTGCTTGCCTGTAATTTGTACTCTGATTCCTTCTTCAAGATTCTATAAGTAAAATCAAAAATAAGTTTTATTGAACACTTATCATTCAACAGTACACTTTTTTAAGTAAAAAAATGTCGCTCACAACCGCTTCTGTAGTGGAATGACGAAACGTGTGAACTTTATACTCTTATAGATACATAAAATAGCACCGAAATTTTCTTCCCATAACATAAATCAACAGAAAAATTTCATACCTTTTGATCCGCCAGTCCATTTCATCCTTCAGGTTATCCCAATTTTCACGATGTACCTGACTATCCTCATCTATCTGTTTGATGTCGTTCAAAGAAAACGCAGAACTATCCTTCAAGGACTCTCCAAACCGGATTGTACTGGACAGTAGCTTCTTCTCTTGCAGTTCCATATCTTTAGCCTCATCCTAAGACAAAATGGTGCAGCATGGTACGACATGGAACAATTCATCAGCACAGAGCAACTATAGTTAAATTATTCCTGACTGAAGTTATATAATAACAGTTTTTTATCCACTTTTTGACACGTGCATCTCTGAGCCAGTTTCAAAGTTTATCTCTTGTATTCTAAAGCTCACTCAAAGTCACCACATAACCATTCGAAGAAAGTATTTTGCACGACCGATTGCTTCATTTGAAATATTCAGTAACAAAAATCTTACCATCGATGGAATATGAGTTTGTCGTTGATTGGTGGGAGCACGATTTATGAGTGGCACTCAATGAGTGTGAATGAATTTTTACAATATGCATCTCTTATGCTTAAAAAGCATTACTAAAATAGTCAACTCACCTCTAATTGCTGCCGTACTTTTTCAAGTGCTTGCAAATCAAGGTCTTCTCCTTTATTGTCGCTTAGTATATTTTGTTTTTCAGTCATAAATGCTTCTAAAGATGCTAACTTCTTCTTCCATACCACTAAATTGACTTCTTTTTCATCCAGAATGGCCTTTTCACTAGCGTCGAGTCTAAGAATTTTCAAACAAATTTCAGCCTCAAGGTTTTGAGGGCCTTTAATGGTAGGGTGGGTGTCTTATAAGTGGGTGACTTCGTACTAAAACTTGAGTTCCTAGATATTCCATGCTTAGTATAAGTTTCATGTTTCAACAAAAAAAAAGCAACGCAATACAATCAAACATACCGCTTCAGTTTTTCATTCAGTTTAAGTTTCAAAGCTGTAAACGACTCGTCCAATGAACTCATATCATTTTTTATCTTTTTCCGATCACCTTCAGAGATTAAAGAGTGATCTTGCACTTTTTTTGCCAGTTCAACAACATTTTCCAATGTTTTCTCTCGCGAATCAAATTCATCACGCTGCGCCTGTAGGAAGAAATTCATCGTTTACGTATATCAATTTGGCTAAAGACAAGTTAAGGGTATTGAAGACACTTTGACAAGGGGAGTGCAACTGATGTTAAATCCCATGTACCTGGTGAGAAAACTAAGTAAATTGCAATTTATGAAACAAATGCAAAAATTAATTTTACCAACGGAAACCGCCTCTTGCGTCATAAAATAACACACAAAAAAGGCTCTGCCACAGTGCAACGAATTGCAGTTTTTCATTAAGAAATGTAACATCTTGGCGCATGTTCCTCACACTAAAGCTGCTTGCCTAACAACTCTCACAGACATCTATAACTTAAGCATTTGAAATGGAAAAAGTGCAAAATTCTTCAAATATTTCATTGATGTGAACCACAAGATATGTTCACATAGAAGGTAAAACATTTACTGCATCATTGATATGATTTGTAAGGTTATTTTACACTAGAGGTAAAACATTCACTGCATCATTGATATGATTTGTAAGGTTATTTTACACTAGAGGTAAAACATTCACTGCATCATTGATGTGATTTGTAAGGTTATTTTACACTAGAGGTAAAACATTCACTGCATCATTGATATGATTTGTAAGGTTATTTTACACTAGAGGTAAAACATTCAGTGTATCATTGATGTGATGTATAAGATTATTTTACACAAGAGGTAAGACATTCAGTGCATTATTGAAGTGATATACAAGAACTGCTAGTGATTTAATTGATATACAAGATTAAATAGTTACCTGTAGAACAGTCTTTTGTTTTTGTACTGATTCCAAGTCAGTAACCAGATCGTTTTGGTTCGCAAGATTCTCTTCTTGCTCGTTGATCCAATCTTGAAACTCAAATAGACCATTGTTCCAACTTAATATTAATGAGGAGCGCTCTTCGTTGAAAGCCACTTCCTTTGCTGACAATCTTTAAAAACAATGAATACGTTTAATTGGCTCTCAGTTACTTCATAAAGAAAGATGAACAAAACATCAAGGAAATACAAAGTTTTACAACCTAAAATAAGAATGTACTTTATGAAATAACGCAAGCAAAACGCGTGCTCTGATTAGTCAATACCCATGTTTGGATCAAGCCATCCAAACTCGGTAACCGTTTGGTAATTGTTAAAGAAATATGCATTTGACGACATTTGTAGTTGCGAGCGTTACTCCACAGAAAAATCGTGCGTGTGACTAAAATCTTTCGCAAAAATTTTACACTTTTAGTTTTATTGCAGAACGCCTTGTATTGCATTTGCATTGCACACTAATTTCCGCAACCAGGTGTAAACATTAGAGAAAACCCTGAGAAAATGCAAAGAAAACCCACAAAAACAAAAAGAAAACAGTGAACACCTTTCAATTTTCTTCTGCATTCTATCCTCCAAATTCTGCCACTGACTTTTTAAATTGTTCATTTGCGTTCTTATTTTGGCCTTGTCTTCTTCGCGAAGTGCCGTGTGATCCTGAGCTTCGTCGCCGAGTAAGATGGCGTTTTGCAGTTCAACCTGTTGTTTCTGTATTGTTTCAACATTGATCTGAAGAGAAATAATGTTCTCAAAATCAGATGTAAATCGAGAAGAAATTATAATGAGGAAGTAAGTCTAGAGTGTCAACATTGTAACATTCTTAATAATAGACATCAGATCAATCCTGATGAACACACTAGACTGGAGTACATAAGGACTGAAGTCTCAACATCAAATCACTTCTAATGAAGACAATACGCTGGAATATAAAAGGACTCGAGTTTCAACATTACATCACTCTTGATTAAGACAGTAGACTGAAGTACATGAGAACTAAAGTTTTAAAATCAAATCATTCCTGATGAATACTCTAGACTGGAGTATATAAGAACTCAACTTGCCACATTGCATCACTCCTGAAGAAAACATTAGACTGGAGCATATAAGGACTCAAGTTTCAACATCAGTTCACTCCTGATGAAGACTCTAGACTGGAGTATATAAGAACTCAAATTTCAACACCAACCTACTCTTGATTGATGAATAACAGTAGAACACTAGAACATATTTGTAGCACATTTTCAACACAAATTCACTCAAAGACTAGTTTACATGCTGTCGAGTACAAAGGAAGAAGTCTAATTCTCTGTTCATACTTGTGTGTTTTCTTTGTATTTCCGTAACGATTCAAGATCATTGGATTCCAAGTCATCATCATCATCCCATCTTGTTCCCTGATCACTAAACAACTCTTCTAGGAAAGTGCTTTTTGTTTGCCATTCATCCATTTTCACAATTCTCTCCTCATGAAAGCTATTTTCTTGTTCATTAATTCTGAAAAACAAACAGCATTATTACAATGCACTTGTTCTCATACATAAATCCGTACATCCTGTGTCCCAAGTGCAGGAGTCACCATTGCACTATGGTGATAGCCGGGAGGGCACATCGTTAAGCACATACTTATAATATAAAATAAAAATCATCCAAAAAAAGACATCTTGTAAACTCGAATTTAATTTGTAACCAAAACAATGATCATTCTGCCTGGTGACAGTTTTGAAAGAACACCGAAATATTACAGTTTGAACGGCCTTGCTTATAACTTAAAGTTGAGTTTACAATATGTCATTTCTCTTTGGATTATGCTTTACTTTATATTCGATTATGAATATATAGTCATGTCAAGATATATGCACACACATATGTATCTTTTGAATTAAAATCAATCGTGCCGGAAGTAAATTTTACGACCAAAAATTACGAAATGTACTACTATTGACATAAATACCGTTAATGGTCAGTCGAGAGGAATATTTCTGTCCAATAGTTCAAAACATCTGGGGAGTATACTCGATGATTTTATAGACATTCGGACATACATTGAAAACAAAAGGTTGCATTTCTACGCGGAACCTCTTTTAATGTTCTTTGACATGTCTCGCAATCCCTGAAAAATCGTGGTGTAGTTGGTTTGGTAGTGTTTGTGACATCATACCATATACGTATGCTGCTGTAATTGGCGAAAGCTGAGGCAAATTCCCTCGATATGATTATGTATGTTGTTTACATCGTATGTATCATTGTATGGGTTGTAAGGACTGATACGGACGCGCATTAAAAGTGCCGCAAATGTCCAAGCGATAATAAAGCTTCTGTCAGTCAAGTCAACCCCACCTACTCGTGGTGCAGCCTGTGTTCGGCTAACGGGGCTCTGGCGAGGGGCGAGTTTCCGGCGCACTTAAATTAACTGGAACCCGCTGCCTTGCGGTTAGGGTTAGGGTTGGTTAGGGTTAGGGTTAGGGTTAGGGTTAGGGTTAGGGTCACTTTGAGTACAAAAAATAGCGTACCTAGCAAGAGTTTTATTCAACAGCTCTTCAAGACTATTCCAGTCTTTTTCCAAGCCGTCCAAATCTTGTTGTAATTTTCTTTTATCTTCGTCAGAGAAGGCCTCACGACTGTGAAGTTTTTGAAACAATAAAACCACTTCATGGAAACATTTTTTAGGGAAATTCATGGCTTCTCGAATAACCTGAAGAAACATAGGTGTAAATCATTATACTGATGTGTGTAGGAAGATCGATAACTCGAGGGAAAGGCTCGTATTTATATATGCATGTTAGAATTCCTAGAAAACGAAGGATTTCGAAGGCGCTTAATACAAGATATGATGAATATATAAGTATGACCACCCATGATAGTCAATCTTCCTGTGCCCATGATTATACACTTCTCTTACTACTAAAAGTTCAACAAAAGTTCAAACGAACGAAAAAGCAAGTAAACTCATTTGTAAAAAGATATCGACTCGACGCAAGAAGAAACTGCTAACACTAACAGTTAACTTTAGTCGAACGACTAAAACACATCTAGAGACGATAGAAATTAAAATATCGTGTACCTGGAGCTTCTCTTTCTGATTTACTAAAGCATCGTGATCAGTTTTAATCAAACTTATTGCACGTATTGACGTCTCTTGTTTGGACATCGATTCTTTGAGAGAAGTCGTCGCTTCCTTCCACGCTGAAAAATCTTTAGTTCTCTGCTCCGTGAGTAACTTTTCTTCATTGTTTAAACTACGCAAAACAAGAACGAAAAATGAGAATTGAATGAATGCATCCTGCAACATCTCAAGGCGAATCAGAACTTATGATATATGTAAGTAACATCAATTCTTTTTAACTCTCATAAGTTATATTTTTTATTTTGTCGACCACTATGAGGTGTAAGAAAATACCAACAGATGTTTACAGTTGCACCTGCTTGAGAGTGCTACAAACAAACATCTTCGGGGCTTGCATAAGCCAGTGCCAGCACAAAAGAAAAACATCTTTTATTTCTATTATAAAATAACAGAAATGCAAAAAACGAAAAATTCAAAACAAACGTTTTAATTTCCCCCTCTAACACGTATTCATGATTCAAACTATTTTTGATTGATTGATTGATTTGATTGATTGACCTACGATCGGTTTGCCTAGGCTAGTGAAAACACAGCTATAGACCAACACAACCGTAAGCGTTCTATTGTTTGAATTTCATACTTTATAGCTAGTTGAAAATTACGAGAGAATTGCATAACGTCTCTCAGAAACCTTCAAAATTTGACATGCCTTTAATGAGACCTAAAGATTAAACAGCCTACTGTCTTGTTTGTTCCTTTCTCGAACTATTCTTTGTTATATTTTACCTCATGTTCGGACACCCTCAAAGAGTACACAGCTTGAAGTCAACGCTACACGTAAAGTTACAAGAAAACTCACGCGTTTAAGAGTTCATTCATCATATCGTCAAGCTGTTTCCAAGATGCTTTTATCAAAATCGTTTTGCCATCGATTTCCTCTCTGTCTTTGGAAAGCAATGACGGATGAACCTCCTCGGCAAAACGAAGTAAGCTACGATAATCCTTGTGCTGTGAATGTTGTTCCTCTATACAGGTCTGCAAAAACAATTAAATCAATTACACACTCTTTGGATAAACGTCTATCCAAAATTGCACTTCATTGAGGAAGAGTTCACCTCAAAAATTCTACAGAAATCCACAGTTTGGAAACCAACATTTAAATAATCGATTCAACAAGGACAACAAGACAATTTTATCTAATCTACATAATTTGCACAATTTCTTGAAATAGCAATGTTATTGAACAATATATAAGTTTCAAAGTTATGAAATGAGTCTATTGTCCTTTGACAAAGACTCTTAAGTAACACAACCTTATACATATACCTTAATAAATGTTAATTCTTCTCTGACGTCATTCACCTTACGATACAATTTTTCTCGTTCTTTAACTTTTGTTTCATTTCGTCTATCCATTTTTTCAACACGTCATGTCTCGTCCGCCATTCATTTAGACGAATGTTTCTGTCGTTTTCAAGATCGCTTTCTCTGTTTTCAATCCTATTATTTTGTTTGAAAAAAAAATAAAAACTCGATAAATGTCTTGATTTTCTTCAAATTAACAGTAACACAAGTACTAAGTACAGAAAATGTAATGATGAATAAACAAAATGTGGAAGGATTATATAAAGTTTCAATGAGGAACAGTTCAAATGGCAACAAAAAGCACTTTCATTTTGGGAAATCACAACCAATTGTTAGAAATTTGTGCAAATCATTGTAAATACTTTGAGCAAATCTTAAAAATGTACAAAAACAAAGTTAGATAACCGAATACAAAAACTAAGTAAAACAAAACTAAGTTCAGGAGTTATGGTGGGCTTTTCTTGAGAATAGAACAAAGACAAGAAGTTTGTTTCAAACATCAATTTAAAAGCTTGCTCCTTATGAGAAGTTCATTTTCCAAGCTGACGACTATATACAACAGATTTCATTTACGGTAAAGACATTGACTGCTTGTGATTTTAACTGACCTTTTTAAATTAGTTTCCACTTTGTCTTCCAAACTTTGCCAGTTTTTCTTCAGTTTATTAATGTCTTGCTGAAGTCTCCGCTTGTCTTCATCCGCCAACGAATAATGGCCTTGTAATTCATCATTCAATGTTGCGAGGGACTCGAAACGATTCTTGTTTGATAGCATTTCATTTAAAAGAGCCTAAATGTACGAATAGGTGGTGATGAATGATCAAGAGAGAACGAGAACTTTCTTTACCCTACCAAATATATAAACTAAGATAATGTGTGTCAATGTAGGTAGTGATGAATGAACAAGAGAGAACGAGAACTTTCTTTGCACTACCTAAAATATAAACTAAGATAATGTGTGTCAGTGTATGTAGTGAAGAATGAGCAAGAGAGAACGAGAGCAGTCTTTATACTACCGTACACATAAAGTCAACGTGTGTCAAGTTATGAAAAACAAAGTGAAGATTTTCGCGAGTGGTTATGACCACGTGTGATGGATAGGATAACAATCACAAAACACAAACTATTCTTACTTCATGTTCTTTTCGTCTTTTTCTGACCAACTCGAGTCCAGCCCCGGGTGACAATACCATAGCATCAAATTTATCGTTTTCATCAACCAACCATTGTTCAATCGTTAACAGCTGTTCCTTCCATTCGTCTATCTTCGCTCTTTTTCTACCATCTACTACATCTTTGTTCTCATTCGTTCTACATGGAAATTTTTCGTAAATATCTTGTGGTACAAAATAACGAAAAATCGTCTGAGTCTAGATTTCTATAAATTTACACAAATTCTCAGGCAGTCCACAAATTCTCAGGCAGTCAAATAGAAGTGCTTGCAGGTAAGAAAATAGTTTCATGTGATAGCAATGTAAAATAATTATTAGTGGTTTCCTCTATGGCTTTAAATGGAGAATACGACAATGTTATCAATGGAGCTAACCAAACTTTTGCTGAACGATAATCATTTCTATAGACAAAACCTGAGCAATTCTTTTTGACTGCATGTGCATTTGCGATGGTGTTAAGATGGTGTTAATAATCGCCAATAGGGAGTAGTTAAAAGGGGCACGTTGTCCCAAGCCTCTCGATCCAAAGGTACCAGCAGTTTGAGAATGGACCTAAGATACTTTGGTAGATTGGATACATTTTAAGATACTTTGACATGGATACATTTTAAGATACTTTGGAACTTTGCACCTTAGTAAAATTTGTTCATTATAAATCAATTCAAACTACTTTACGTCAGACAGACACATATAGTCAAAAAAATAGTGCCAATGCCTAAAAAAATATTTTGCCCTGGGCTCTACTATGAGTCGTCAGTATAACTATCAGGCCATCCAAACACGGAAATTGAAATTGCTGCATGTCGTAAGAATTTTAAACAAGCCTGGATAAATTGACTTGGAGTGCTTTTTTTGCAGAGTAAATATGAACTTAAATCAAGATTGATGATTTTTCTAATCTTCAAAGTCAATAACCTCGCTGTAATTCTACGTTTTAGTGTTTTGACTTCGTTGTTTACTAAACTTTACAGATTTCGTTCGCTTGGGAGAATTTAGCTTTCATATTTCCGCTTGTTTAGACAAACCTTACGACTCGACCATTTTGTTGTTACTTTAAAAAAAGATAACTTAACGGTTTCAAGTGTTTAAATGGCCTAATCCAAACATGGAAACGATTAAGATTATAACTCAACGTTGCAATGACGTTGGTGCAAGCTCGGACTGGCTCTTGTGTATGGGGCCTTACTATTTTCAGTGTCAAGGAAAAAAACCTGTACCAACAAAATTTAGAAATTTAGACTTCAGTCTCTAAAATACATTTCTCACATTTAGGACGAAGATTTTATTGTAATCTGTTGTGTAAACCATTGAAAGTTTTTTTTGTCGTCATAAACAGCAATTCACTTTCAATTTACACAACTCAAGAAACGCGTGACTTTCAGAAATTACAACAACTTCAGAATCATTGCTAACTTAATTCAGTGGCTTAAAAAAATAGAAGTATCTAAAGACTTTGACGCTAGTCCAAAGTACTTACACACTCTTGGCCTCTGTCGCTTTTAAATGTGTGTTTTACTACCTGTTGGCCTGTTTAAAACTTCTTTTGACAGTTTTACGTATACTGGAATCATATAGTTTCTTCAATTTAATCGTACTTGTTATTCTACATGCAGCTTTGTGTTATAAGGACCCATTTTGATTTCCAACTAGGGGGCCATGTGCCACGGCACAATGGCACATGAGCCAATCCGAGCCTGCGTTTGTGCTTCGATGCAAGAAATACAAAAGACAAACCTCGTCAAATTCGATCGCACATTCTTGGAAAGAATCTGGAATGAATTTTGAAGTTCTTCACTTTCAGTTTTGATTGTGGCTTTCTCTTCTTGAGACAACGAAGGACTTTGAGTGACTTCTTCACTTAAACGTACGACGATGTTCAGTTGCTTTTCTTTTTGAGCAAGTGTTTCAGTCAGCGTCTGAAAAATTAGCTTCATCTTCAATCCTATTTTTCTAGAAAATAATTCTAATAATTCTAATTTTTGAGCTTTATCACTACAGTAATGAGATGACGTAGTCAAAAATCGATCTGATATTAACAACTCATTTATAGTACAATTTTCATCACGACTTATGGATGGGGAAACAAAAGTCTTTGTATGGTGCAGTATGATATTAAAAGTAAAATAAAAGTAAAAATTGAGACATAATATAATTCGGTCTGGTGTCTTTACTCTTCACATATTCATTATCAGATCTTAAATCTCGCGTTTTTGTATGTTCAAATCTAGTGTCTTTATCAGGAATAATTTGGTGTTACAACTTGAGTCTTTACATACACCATTCTTGTGCTTTCATCAGAAGTGATCTGATGTTGAAACTTACGTCCTTATATTCTCCAGTCTAGTGTCTTCACCAAGAGCTGATGACTTTGAACTTGAGTTTTATTATACTCCAGTCTAGTGTCTTCGTAAGCAGTTAACTGATGTTGGAACTTTAGTCCTTTTACATATCCTTTTAACGTATTCATTCTATTTCTTTCATCATAGTTTCTGCATTTACAGTAAATAAGCTCATAAATAACGATACGCATTATCATACCCACCTGAAGTTGATATAACTTTGCAGTCAACTCTTCGGGATTTTCAGGAATACTTTGAGAAACGTCTATCTCTTCTTTCTTCAGCCACTCTTGCAAGGGAATAGCTTTCATCTTCCATTGGCTCAGTATAGAAGAGCGTTCATTATCAAGTTCATCAATTCTGTTTGTCAATCTAAGTAAAAAGTAAAAGCCCCCATTCGTAATTTCCTAAAACACCAAACCAAACCTTGATTAGGAAAACAAACTTTAAAATCGAAACTAATTTTATGTGCGCGACTCTTCTTTATTAAGAAATTCATCATGTTGTTTGTTTTTCTTTTACACTCTCATTCATATGACATTTCACAACCTTTCTACTGAAAAACGACGATTCATCTTTGCATAGATAAACACAGAGTGACTTGGTAGAAAGACTGCTATAAAATGTATGCCCTCTTGTATCGGATACAGCAAACCAAAAAACCAACAAAAATTCATTGAATATCTTTAATATTGACTACATGGTCTTAAATTTCCTCTGTGAATGCATGCAGTAGGCAGTACATGTTGAGCTTTTTTCTTGTTAAAAATCGCGTTTAAAAATTCACAGTAAAACAAGTCGTAACATTTTACTTCACTTCATGCAATCAATATAGTACGTTTTCTCGGTTTGACGGTACATATCTCAAAAACTTTTTTGTTTCATATGAAAACATTTAGCAATAAGCAAATATGCCACGGGCACTTTAAACTTTAAAAAATATCTACGGTATGTAAAAAGAAGTATGTTTAACGTACCGTTTATTTTTCCACTGTAAGTTGTCGTTCAAAGTCTGCAATCCTCTTTTGATATTCAATTTATCTTGTTGAATTTGTTTTCGATCATTCTCTGAGATTGACATGAAGTTTAGAACATCATCGGCCAAAGCCATCGTGTCATTTAAACTTGCTTTACGAAGGCTCGTAGCCTCGAGTAAGCTCTACAATGAGACGTTTAACAGGTGATCTTTAAGAAGGTGCACTAGTGCAGGTAACAATTAATGTACGTCAGATTTGTTACATGTCTGTATTATTACAAATCTGTATTGTAGTAAGCCTAAATTGTTATACGTCTGCATTGTCATATACTTGCGTTGCAATACCTCTGTATTGTTATAAGTCTGTATTGTTATAAGCTTGTGTAGTAAGAACTCTAAATGGTTTTACGTCTGCATTTATATATACTTGTGCGGTAAGAGCTCTGCATTGTTATACGTCTGCATTGCATTATACGTGTGTGGCAAGAACTTTGTATTGCTATATATATATTATCATGAGCTTGTGCTGTAATAAGTCTATATTGTTATAAGTCTGCATTGTAATAAGCTTGTGTTGTAATAAATTTGCAATAACTATGCAAGTTCGTTTAGATATACTTGTAGTTATGGCTGTATTGTAATAAGTCTGTATCGTTAAACGTCTTGTCAAGGAGAAACGTTAAATTGTTAAAAACATTACCTCTAGTTCAGCCTTTTGTTTGTTCAATGCGAACGGTTCACGAGCAATGGGTCCTTGATTGTCGAATTCATCCTCTTTGGTTTTTAACCACTTGTTCCATTCGTCTGCATTTTTCTTCCATTCTTCCACCTTAGTTGAGCCTTCTTCGTGAAGAGCCTTTTCTTTTTTGGACAGCCTTGGATATGAGGAACATATAGAAAATCAACATGTTTGCAGAAGTAGGTAATGTCAGTGGAGCAGATAAAATACATCAGTAACAGTCAGTGGCGGCGGAAGATGTTTTATAGTGGGGGGGGGGGTGAATAATAGGAAAGTTGTAGTAGGGGCGTGGCATTCTGACCTTTTGGTAAAGTTTCGGTCAAAGTGTGAGGAAAATTAAAGACCGTCCATTACATTCTTCATTCTGTATGAGACAGACGTTATGAGGGATAGGCCATCTATATGACAGCAGTTTTCCCTTGTCAAACAAGGACTTATTTCAGAAAAAATGTAGAAAAGCTCTTCGTATTAATGGAGTATTTTGTGAGTTAGTCCTTTCATCTTAATTATTGGGTGGGATTAGACTGTCCATCTTAATTATTGGGGGGGTGGGGGTGGGGCTTCGCCTCTTCATCTTAAGTATGGGGGGTTAGCCTGTCCATCTTAATAATTTGGGGGGGGTTAGCTTTTCCATCTTAATTTTTGGCATAATCAAAAACTGACAGTCGTGCTTAGCTAGTGAAAAGCGTTGGGGAGAGTGGAAAATCTATATCTATCCACCCTGGTGGCAAAGAATGACAATCTTACTTGTCAAGCCGTCCATCTAAAGCGTATTTTAGAGCACTCCAGCGATTTACGGCATCCTGAGCTTGTAGATCGATCTCTTTGGCGTTTTCATCATCTATCAACGAATCATTTTGAATCTCCTTACTTAAAGTATCGATATCTCGAAACTGCTTTGCGTAGTTGTCGACTCTTGATTTGAGCACCTAGGAAAAGGGAATACACGATCAAAAGCATATACGTGACCGGCTCCCAGTGTTTTGCTAAAATTTAGACGAACTACGGGGCATAATATGCTCTCACTGTCGGAAACACTGGTGGTTAAAGTTTTGCACAAATCATCACAATCTGAAACAGTTTATTTTGAATGAATTTAATTTTTCATAACCGAGTTTTATCATTTGCAAACGACCGTTCACAGTTTGAATAAAATACAATTGTTTGACATTGTCTTATTGTTTTGCCATAGAAAAGATATGTTGTTTCATATGAAAGATATGCTGCCATATGCTCACAAACCAGTGGCGCTGCCAACCCGCACGTTTGGCGATGCTACGTAAATTTCGAATCATTAGCATTTCTATCTTTTAGACATTAGTTGTTTTCACTGCAGGTGAACACAGAAATATTTCAACATATCATAAACAAGCTGCCTACTCTACTGCAAACGCAAATACGTTTTCATAAGTTAGACGCCATAAACGGCAGGTTGCAAATATTTGAAGACAACGGAAGCGAAGCCAGCATGTGTTTTACTTCTACAATTCAAATCTATTCGTATTCAATCGTCAGAAAGACAATGAACGGAATAAAATTTCTAAAGAAATGTGTCATTATTTTGCTGAAAAAATTAGCATTGTAGGACTATAAAATCAAGCAGGCTTCGCCACTGGAAGACATCGAATTTTCCATGAAAATATATTCGTGTAATATGAAAGCACACCCAGGAAAAACCCCTACGTACACACAAGAATGGGATGACAAAATTAGTAAAAGAATCGTTCAACATCCAAGCGAAATAAATTCTACCTTTGCTTCTCCCAGTTGTCTTTGAACGGTATGGACATCGTCACCGACATCTTTAAGCGATTTAATTTCAATAGCCTTTGCGGTCAGCCATCTTTGCAGAGGCTCGTATTTCCCTTTCCATTCGCTTATCTTCTCGGTGTGATGTCTGCTTTCGAGCTCCTCTTCTTTTGACTCCAGTCTGTCAAGCCATAACGCAGAATTAGTTCATCACGCAGCGGACGCAAAGGGATTTGCGGGACAAATACAGGAAGAACGGGGTCAATTGCGGACAACACCAAAGACGACGACGACCAGTGAGAACTTCATTTTCTAGATACTTCGTGTAGAAAATTCTTCAAACGAATGAGCTAGCTCCACAAACGACCAATTCATCGCAAAATCATTGCCAATGCTTAAAATTTTGCTGGCAACGCAATTCGCTGAAAACCTTCATGTTTTACAATGGAACATATGCAATATAAAGCACTAACTAATCGTGTCCAAGAAATTTCAATCGGATTCAATCATTGCAGACGGTCTTCGAGCAATTTACGGAGAAAAAAAATGCGATTGGTGAAATGCAGATAGACAAAACATTTTGAAAGTAGTGAAAATTGTAATGAAAGTTTAGCAAGGAAAACGTCATACTTACGCATTGTGATGATTATTTATCTGTTTTACTATTGTGTCCCATCTGTCATTCAGCGATTTCGTCTTCTGTTGCACCTTGCTTCGTTCTCCTTCACTGACGCACGGATCCGCTTGGAGATTATTGCTGAACACCGTGAAATTATAGATATTACGTTGAAAATCCAGAGACTCTTGAAGAAATCCCTAGCATTACAATAAAATGAGATGAAAAAATGTGGTCGCCATGTTGAACTGATATTTTCATTCGCATTGTACATCGTCATATGTTGAAACCAATTATGTATTAACACATCTTAAATTGTCACACTTTTGTCCTATCACCATACATTCTGTACAAATCAAGCGGAAAAATTTGTAGACCCTTTACATACTTTGAAAAAGTCAAATATCTTTAAAATACATTGATTCTTGATAAGTTGTCAGCGTAGACACTAACCTGAAATTCGTCTTTTTGAGCATTCACTGTCTTGAGATCGGAGCCGATTGCGCCACGTTCGGCCAATCGTAGTTGAGCTTTATCTAACCAATCAGAGATCTGCGAAGCATTTTCTTGCCACTTTTCAAGCTTGTCCTGTTGTTGCGATTCCAATTTTGATATAGTTTCGTTCAACCTTTAGGAGAAGAACAATCCTATTTCAAGGATAATTCCTTAAAAGTGAGAGCACTGAGTGTAATACAGTCGACTGGTCAAACGTCCATATATTTCGTTTAGCCGTTAGCTCACAGAAAATACATAAAAAAGGCCTTGTGCAACATCTAGAAAATAGGTCATGTTCGTGGACGAAAATCGTCCAAATTATTAGTCGAGTCTTGAGGAGATCTATTGATGTCGGCCCTAACACCAACAGTACTTCTCAGGACTGTACTGACTTGAAAGATCAACATCAACAAACATGTAACGATAGTCTCCGGTGTAAAAAACTCATTCTAGAGAGCCAATGAGAGGGAGAGAAAAAATCGACCTTAAACGAAAATCATTGGAAATTATTTTTCGAAAATACTACAGAAATTGGACCTGAATCTTGTGATGACGTACTGTGCTGCTGGTTTACTTTGCTTCATTACAATGAACTTCCAATTATTTAATTACATGACGTACCTTTGCATTCTCCAGTTAATCTTCTCTTCCAAAGACTTCCACCGATTTTTGAGTGCGTTCAGCTCCTGTCCCAGTTTCAGGTTGTTTTCTTCGGAAAGAGCTGAATCAGCTTGAATTTCCTCACCCAATCGAATCATATTTCTCATCTTTTTCTCCTCTTGTTTCATTTCCTTCATCATAGCCTGAAATGAACGAAAAAGTGCTGTAAATTTATAATACTTCATATAACTTCGATGAAAGTGTCCAGACAGAAGGAGACATGACGTACTTCAATTTTCGGCTTTTGCTTCATGGCGGCCTCAAGGTTCGGCGCAACCACACCCATTGCTTGAAATTTTTTTTCCTCTCTGGTCAACCATCCCTCAAACGAGTTGGCCTTGTCCGAAAATTCATTCATTTTGTTTTGAAAATTTTCTTGTAGATGTTTCTTCATGTCTTCAAGCCTGTTGCAGACAGATAAAGGAAGTGGTTGTGTTTGAGACTCAACAGATTCTAGTGAGCCAGACTGAATATAAGGTATATATGAAAGAGACATAAGCAAGCACATTTATTTTTTATGTACCATCGTCAATATGACATAAGTATAAAAAGATCAAGTTCATTTATTTCTTATGTACTATCCTCACTACGGCATAAGTATAAGGAGATCAAGTACATTGATTTCTTATGTACTATCCTCACTATCACATAGGTTTAATGAGATAAAGTACATTGATGTCTTATGTACTATACGTACATCGAGCAAGAGTCAGTCAATAAGGCGTCCAGCAAGCCGGACATGCATTGGGATTCATGGAGGGCTGCTATCCACCACAGATGTTGCTGTGAGCAGATCTGATTTTATTTTATTTAACGAATAATTAAGCCCTTGAATTAAAAATACCTCTGCAATCTGCTATTCACAATATGATTGAAGCTTTCCCAGCGTTCAAGTAAGTTTGCGATATCTTTTTTAAGCTTATTCTTATCAGGTTTAGGTGTAACGGGGTTCTTGATAGCTTCTTCACCGCTGACCAGTAAATACTCCACACTCTCATGCACATTAGCCACTTCATTCAACAAATCCTTAGTGTAAAAAAAGATACATCTGGAAATTACCAAGACGGATAATTGAAATTTTGAAGGGTTTGAAAAAATTTCATCTCAAAAAATAAGCACGAAAATATTTAACACAAGGTCGACAAGGTAAATACACACATAACACAAAAAATAGAAATTTTTAGGGAAACCTAGCTACCTCTTGCTCGGCAATCTGTTCTTCAACAACAGGTAGTGTGTCGCCCATGGTAAAATTTCCTTCCACTTTCGGAGCAATCGTTTGCAACAATTTGTCCATTTCGGCATACTTTTGAAACCATTCGTTCACTTTATCACGATAGTCATCGGATGTAGTGGACATCAACCCATCAATGCTAGCGAGACAATTATATAAGATAGGAACATTTCATGTAGGAACGAAAATTAAGTCTTAATTAACCAAGTACAAGGTCTTCAGGGAGAAATATTGGACCAATATGTTTTCTACTGACCTAGCCCGTTGGGCGAGGCTTGTTCTAAAAGACAGAGGTCTGATATTTTTCTGTAAAGACTAAGCAAGCGAGGTTATTAAAACGTTTATTAGTTTAGTCACTACTTTAGCTTTCGTAAGTAAAAAATAAATCGTCTAAAAGTTTCTCGTCTGGAAAGGAGAACTCACTTTCCATATGTTATTCTTCCGGCTGGTGTTAATACAATTTTTTTTGTTGCGCTTTACAAAACTTTTCCTGTTTGTTTCGGGGAAATTTGTTTATGTTAGTCGAAAAATTACGACTATTTGGACCGCCGTTCCATTACGAAAAAATATGCTATTTTACATGAGTAAGTGACGCTCGCCATATGATAACATCAGTTGATCAAATAAAAAATTACTTAATGACGTTGTCGGCAGTGTGACCGCACATAGAATTTTTTTACAAGATTCGCCGTTCTGAACTTTGAAACTACAGCAGGCATCTGCAAATCTAGTAAAAAAAACTTGGATGTATGGTCACACTGGTTCTCCGCTTCCATCGTGAAGAAAATTGACTAATCAAATAACTACCTATCAGATTCTTCGCTCATTAATGTCATTACATCATTCCAAGATTTCTTCAAGACGTCGGCGTCTTCATTGATCTGTGAACGTTCCCACTCGGGACAGTCCTCGCGTGATATCACTTCCTCAGCACACTCCAGGGCATTTTCGTAATCAGCTCTGATGTTGTCGGCGACTTTTTCACAATCCTTTCAGAGTGAAAAAAATAGTGGATTAGTTTATTTTATCTCGACTCTGTAATAATTAAAGCAAGCATATTGACTCGGGCCTTCTGTACACCAGTCCTTTATTATTTACATTTTCAAGATTACTTGCTCGAAAACAGCTATCTCCTGCAGTGGCGTAGCCAGGTCGCAAGTTTGCTAGTGCTATGTAAATATTTCAGTGTTTGCTAACAGTCAAATCAATCGATTTCTAATGAGATAAGTATTGCCAGTGTTCTGGAAACTACATAACATGACCAAATATGCGCACTGGCCACTCCACTGATCTCATTTACTTCACGCTTTGGTGAAAAGTAAAACTGAAGATCTAAACACAGACTTCCCTTCAGTTGCCAGCCCAAGTTTTTCAAACGCCAGCCCAAGTTTTTCCACCCGTCATGTAAATTTTTCATCATAATTATTAGTGGAGAAAATCAGAGCCATGTATCTGTAAGAGTTGTGACACGTATTGTTCTCTGCATTTTGCATTATGATTACGCTGATTGGGTAAATACAGTCACATGGGTATCTCGCTGCGATTTTTGTTCCAAAAGCACAATTATAAACTTTTTTTAGATAGAAGACAAACTGTAAGAAAAGTTCTTTACAATGATTTTATGTTGCGTGATCAACGTGTATAAATTACATCCATTGCATTAAATAAATGCTTTTCTTTTATCACAATAGCTATAAATATAAACAAATGAATTCCAAAGGTAACGATCACTGTCTATTCGTGAATAAGAAAACACAGCAGAAAATTGGTCGTTTCCCATTTAATGCTCTATAGGCCCGTTTCCACTTACGAAAATTTTTCTTCGGATAGGAAAATTTGCGGGATATCTATTTTTCCAGCAATTATTTCCATTTTACATTCATGCCAGTGTGGAAATAAATATGGCAGCCTTAAGTAGACGTATATTACTTCTTTTACTGATAAGAAACCGCTAGTACACATGGTTTGACGAGCAAAATAAGTACAAGAAAAGAATGTGATAAGACGAATAACTGCTGAAACACAACAACTAACGGTGAATTTGCCACTTTTATTCGGAAATAAGACTGGTAGACCACGAACACTTTTCGAACGATTTTGTATTACTATATACTAATTGTTTCTAACATCCGTGACCTGATTGGCTGACTGCTAATTTTCCACCGGACTGAATACACAAAGTTGAAAAATTTCAACTTGAATAAACATTCAATTTCTTCCACAGGAAAATTTGATCGCGTCTCTTGAATTACTTAACGCATGCGCAAATTTGGAAGATTCTACTTTCCTTGGAAAATTTTCTTCAGTGGAAACGGGCCTTATAACTGCTGGCTTTTGGAACAAAATTGGCGGACGCTAGGCGATATTACTTCCAGTGTTTCAACTCTTTCATATATAGGGCTCTGGAGAAAACTATTCTTTAAAACTTAATTTCGTGCACGCTTTTTCTAGGGAAATGAACATAAAAATACTCGTATGGCGGAAGTAAAGAATCGGGCCAACTCCTCTCTTTCCTTGCTCGGCCTACCTTGAAAGCCCTGCTTCTTTCCTCGACGACAGGGAGCGACTTCACTTTTCTGATGGAACTTTTAACTTCGGTCATTTGTCTTAAGAGAAGTTCAAAGTTTGTGTTCCATTCTTCCACTTTATTCTTCCCTTCCATTTCGCTTTGATCGCGTGCAGTCTTCAGTTGATGCTTCAACTTAGAGCATTTTGCTGTCAACGAGTTCCATTCGCCTTTCATTTCATTCAATTGCTTTTTCATCTTAAGTTTTTGTTCTTTGGACAAAGCTTTTTCGTCCATCAACATTTCCCCATACTCGACTATGGACTGTGGTTGATGATCATTTTTGAGTGTTTCAAGAAGTACCTAAATAAACCGTGTGAATTAGACATTACAAATCGAGCGTAAAAGCCAATTTTCGGTTCCGTCGTCATAGTATTATCCTTGAAATCATGGATAAAATCAATAGGAAAGTCGATGCAAACGAACGACTTATATTCTAATCTCTCTAATTATAACTACCAGCCTTCAGCTCTAAGTCTTTGGTATCAAAAAACGATGGTATCCGGACATGAAACTAAGAAAGTATAGAAAATGTGATTGCGCATTTCCTTTGATGCTCTCAGCGAGAGTAAATGTGAATTGGCTTTTCTTGGTGTGCAAGTTGTCGCTGAGCAAGTAACGTTATGGCTGCCATGTACACTGTTGAATGATTTTGACACAGCTATAACTTTATTGACAAAGTCAAATATTACCGAACATGGCCCAAACTCCATTGTTCTCTCACTCCCAGGGGATTGGTTATACTCCACTTACATCGACTTTGATGATTGCCAACAATTGGATGTTTTCTGTCATTAGTCATACAAACTAAGAAAGATGTTTACCTCGCATTTTTCAAAATTTGCTTTGATGTTTTTGATGTCTTTTTTAACATCGGGTCTACTCAGAGGTTCCAGTTGATTTTCTATGTTGACCAACCAATTGCGCATCGTCTCAGCCTCCTTGCGCCATTTGGTAATCGTGCTCGACTGAGTTTCTTTCAGAATTTTGATGCTACTATTGAACCTGTACAAAACAGAAAACGCGATGTTTTTAACAATAAAACACTTCTTGTTCTATACACAAAAAAAAACAACAGGGCAGTAGCTAGAACGTCAATTGGGGATTGCAGTGGGTAGTTGTATATTCATATATTCAGTTGTTCCCGACTGATTTCTTTAGAAAGCCAAATCACTTTCAAAAGAAGTCAGTCGGGCACAACTGAATATATGGATAAACAACTCCCAATCCCCCAATCAACGAAATCATTTTCAACACGTTTGCCGCTGTACTTTCAGACCAACTTCAAATTGAAAAAGTAGCTTAAATTCCATGAATTTTGGTCAGTAATTATGGTGTTAATTTCTAAACAATTACAGAAATTTGTAAAATTTTACTTTTACATGCAATTGCCCTCTCTCAGAAGTCATCTGACATTGATAAACATGCACATATCTTTATCGAAAATGTTTGGACGTTGCTTAAGTATCAAAACATGATTGCTGTATGCATGTGAATCTAATTTTTTGTCTCAAGATACAAATACATCGATCACTTAAGGAGAAACATGTTGGCTGAGGACATTTTCTAATCACATATTTACATTGTATGTAGAAGTGTATCCAAGGAAAATATGAATCACAACAAATTGCTATAAAATTGCAAGGAACGCTGAGTAAACCTAATAACAGTCCGTCAAAAGGAAGAAGTAAAAAAAGACTTCTAACTGTACCTTTGAACGTCGTTCTCAGCTCGAGCTTTTAAATCATTAAAATCCTTTTCCATGACCATCAACTGTTCTTTTACTTTGACCTGATCTTTCCTGGAAAGAGCATCGCTTTTTATCAATTCTCGGCCAAATTCAAGTGTCTTTCGAGCCGTAGGGTCGTCATTGATCAACTGGACCATATTCTGTAAACGAGCATCGAGTGTCAGCTCATTATACTATGAATATTCAGGTTAAAGAGAATGCCTATGGTCACGTACGTTATTACCATAGACAGGAGGGGTATGACAGGGTTGGTGGGAATAAAGTAGGGTGTTGTGGGGTGGGAGTATAGTGGGGGGCTGAAATACAATTTTTACAGAAATAAAAAAACTTAAGGCAACGTTCTTGAAATGTATCAAAGAAAGTTCTCATCGAACATCTCGCATGATTTATATTTATATCCTAACAATGACATGTCATTGACATTGTATTATTTTTAACAAACAAATCAAAAATGCTAATCATCCAACTTTTACGTTAAAACTACATGGGAATCAGTAGTGCTTGCACGGAGAGGTGAGGGATAGCGAGGGATGGCGGGGGGTGTAATCGGGTAATTGAAGAAACTTAAAAAACTGTATAATGTATGAGCAAGATTTTTCGGTAGAGTTTTGGACAACTCCCAAAAACCAGCTGCCGCCATTGATATGTATATTTTCAAATTATATTCAAGCAAAAGCTAAATTCAAGCGATCGAAATCAATGCAACCAATCGAGCCTCAAAAGTATGCAGTTCCATATAATAAACTTCAAAAACTAAATTGTATCTAACTTTAGTTAAATTTAACACAAGTGTATAAATATAAAACTATAGACAGTGGCGTAGCCACAGATTTGTCCGTGCAATGTAAATTTCAGATCCTTACCTTTATTCATTTCTTTATTGAAATCTATTGCTTTTTACAGTGAGAGAAAGCCTAAATATTTACAAAGCACGACCAAGCGTGCGAGCTGGTCAAGGCAATTAGTGTGATTTATGCTATGTACTTACTTTAAGAGCATCTGCATGTCGATCCAGCTCACTTATGTCATCTTCAGATTTGATTTCCTCAATGGCATCAAATTTCTTGTCCATATCATCCATCCAGTCAAGAAAGACGCCAGCTTGCTTGCGCCATTCCCCCGCGTCCCTACGAAATATGGCCATCCTACCATAACGATAAAGAACAAAAATTACTTACAAGGGGAGAGGCAACATAGAATCAATTGTCCCTTTTTTCTGGCAAGTCAGCCACAATATACAATACAAACTTTTAAATTAGTTCCTTCTTGATGGATCGATGTTTGTGCTTTATATTTAGCTGAGTAAATGAATTTGCAAAAGGACAAACAATCTACCTACAACTATAGGTCTTGTCTCAAACCATATAACTTCATGTCATCTTTTAGTTTAACTTTATACTTCTTTTTTGGTCAATCTCTACCAATCCCAATACCACTACCAATACCTAACCTATACCCTTTTGTATAAAGCGCAAAACATATCACCATTTGTTATTGAAGTAAAAGTTACCATAAAACCTACAGTCATTTCTGAGGGCTTAGTCGACAAATTAAACACGTTTGAATAAATGAACGCGGTCTACAGCGTTTTCCAAAGCCAAATATAAGTAAAAAAAAATATGTGCACCTTTGGTCTAATTTCGCTGTGTTTTTCCCGATTGAAGTCCAGCGAATCTCGATGGCCTTAAGATCACTGCGTATCTCGTCCTTTTCAGAAGACAGGACATTGTTGTCATTGGTAACTTTTAATCCAACGTCATTGAGTTGATTCATTTCGTTTTCAACAACTTCGTACTCCAATTTAAATTTCTGTAAAGAGTAAAGGAAGAATACCTTGGTTGATGACTCCGTGAAGGCAAAATTACATTTTTCAAAAACCTGATGGCAAAGTAAAAAAGTTAAACGTCCTGTAAATCAATTTTATTGTTAATCTCACGTTGAACAAAATGATAAAAAGCACTATACAATTTAACTAGACAAAACCCGAGAAGTTCTTTTTGACTGCTTTTGTATGATGGCGACAATGCATTTTCACTTTACGGGAGAAAAAATGCCATATTTAAAACTTCTTTCCTTTTTCTCGTCATTCAGAAGTGTTTACGTTCAAAGTTTTACGTTCATCTTAGTTCCATTCGCAACAAACAATGACACGATTGCTGAAGCTTTCTACGTTTAAACAGTCCCTTTTAGATTTTTTTCAACATTTGACTGAAAGCACTGAAACACGATAATCTCAGAGTGTTCGGTATAGTACGACCGTTAATGTAAATTTTTTTTACCAGATTCGGTAGGATGAACTCAAACATCCCCCCGTTCAGAATTTAACAACTTTATAAAGCAGGGAGAGCTTATCAGATGAAATCAAGTAAAAAATTTTGCACGTATGGCCACACTGGTTTGGTACCTCCCATAAATCAACATCGCCTCGGTTTTTGAAATCATCTTCCAAGTGCAACAAACTGTCTTCGAGAGACTGTAGTTTCGCCGACGTCTCGGAGAGATTGTCTTTAAACTTGAGAAATGCATCGCTTGGCATCTCGGGAATTGAAGACTGAAAATTAATGATATCAAACTCCGTGAGAAAAAATTGTTTGGAGAAAATAAATCATACCCCAAGCTAAGGAAGAATTTAATGAATAGAAAATTTCTTATATTAGAAAATTTCTCAATTATCTTTATAACAATCGGTTAAGATAAGTGAAATTTTTCGTAAATACGAGTGCAAAAAATACGAGATACTAGTGCCGTTTCTTTGTTGAAAGTGCTCCTGATTGGTTAGTTAGATAATGAAGTTATCATAAGAGGCAATCAAAATAAAACATTTCAAAAGCTGTAACAAAAGCAAAACATTGTAACGATTGCTGGCGTAAGTCTTAAGTACATTTTCATTGGCGACCCTAGTCTACAGCTCAACATTTGCAAGACATTTCCAAAATTGCAAACAGTGCCAAAAATAGCTACCTTTTATGGACTACATGCGTGGAATCCCTGGTGCTGTGGAAAAAATATCTGACAGAATTGAAAAATATGAGCCAGTCGATACTAATAACTTTGCAAAGTTTCTCGTGCAATTTTCAAAATATTGCTTCGTGAGTTTTTCAAAATTTCAATACAGCACTCATCCTTCAGACTCGTGCAATTTTAATAGTGTTTGAAAAACTCACTCTCGTGCACGTTTCTTTCTAAATTGCGCTCGAAACCACGCTTTTAGCTACGTATGATAATTGCGTCCTATAAATAGCATCAACCATCTAGTGTATTGATTTCCACCACAGGAGTTGGAAGTTATATAAAATCCTATTTATGGGACAACTGCAGTAAAATAATATAGAGTCAATGTTAAACCTGTTTCACGAAGAATTTATAAATCTAATGCAGTGGCGTCGCCAGCTCAATAAGTGAGGGGGATTTTATTCATATATTCACGTTTTTCTGCATTACGTTCTTTTGAAATCAATTGTTTCTTAGGGATTAAAAAATAAATATACGAACATTGTCCCCCTCACTTATTGAGCTTACGACGCCAATGATCTAATGACCATCTAGTTATCATCGTATTTTGTAAATCAAATTAAAAATGTCCAATGAAAACGCCACGTGACTGCATAACATTTTGCCATCCCATGTCGCCATGGTAATCGAATTGCAAAACATAGCAGTTGCTCTAATCGGTTGTAGCCTTTTCTTTGTTTGATTTATAAGAGCAAATTTCACATTTTCAATTTTTCAGGATAATATGTTATTAATATGCCCTTGATTTAAGAGACTTCACGAAATATCATCAGAAGTCACGATATTTGTTTCGGACAACACCATCATAACTCTAAATTTTCGTCGAGGAACCATCACTTCGTGCATGTATATAAATGATAAATATGAATAAAATATATGTACATTATATGTCGGAGTTTTACTCTTTAATGACCTTAGAACAAATATTGCTTACCTCAACATCGACCGACTGAGATACAACCAAGTCTTCCTCCTCAACTTTCCGACGCTTTCCTCGTTTCACGTGCTCATAATGGTGAAGGGACTGGTATAGACTCGACAAATACATCATCACTAATTTTTTGTCAGGATTTTTCTGATTGACGTCTAAAAGCAATTGGAAGAATTTTTTAGATAAATTTAATTATACATCAGTAAATTAAACTACTAGATTCTTAATTGCTCTCAAAGTGGAAAGCAAAATAGTTTTTTCATAATGGCGATGTATTGAGCCCATTGTAATGAACCATTAATAATCATAGTGAAAGTGAATTTTCCTATCCAGACGAAGTGAACTCTGTAGAAAACAATGAAATTTCAGTCTCGACAAGTCAGATCGACCATTTGACAACGTGAATTGCTTCATTACAAAAATATAAAAAGAAAACGTCATTTATCATTTAGGTCGGTCCTTTCTACAAATATTTTCAGCACGGACCTCCCGGAGCCTCCCAGCCGGTAAATAATATATTTCTATATTCATAATCGCCAGTCAACGCTAAGAAGTTTAGGCATTCATTACATCCCAAGATTCATCTCATACGTGAATCATGCTAAACGATAAGCCCTATCCCGTAAGTTTACACAAGCAATAAATAAAAACAGATGATTTGAAAAGACATAACACATTATTACCGGAAGGTTCCAGCAATTTCTGGACGTTTAGATGATCTTCAGCAACAGAAAATGCGTTCTCTAGTCTTCCGTCGTTGCTCATTTTTTCAACTTCCTCCAGGTCTATTAGGTCATTCCTAAAGAAAAAGGCGGAATTTTTTCTTCGTCAGCTTCTAGTTTAGCATTCAACGCACAGCAAAAATGTTTCAGAATCGAGGACGTTTTATCTTTATTAAATTCATGAAGCTAGCGTCTACACGTTTTCTTTTTAAGTCACGAGCAAAGTTAAAAAATAATAATGCAAAAGAAAAATACTAATTTCTAAATGGTTGAAAGTTTCGATGTATGTGTGATTTCTTCTCAATACAAAGCATTGTAATGGTTTATAAACTAGCACCAGTTCTTTTACGCGAAACCCAAACATCGAGAAATAAGAGCAGTGAAATGCCTGATGTTGGAATGTTAAAAAGCTTATCCAATGTACAAACAGTTCAACAAATCAAAATCTTCACCAATAGGTGCGTTGCATGTTATGTCGCAGTCGCCAAGGAAATTCAATTTAACAAAGGATTTTCCCTTGTTTACAGCTCAAATTTCAACAAACATGGTGAAAATATCTTTGTCCTTTGATTCCTCGGGGAACGGTTGCAAGCCACGTACATTGTAACCATAGAATTACCTGTGCACGTGAATCAACACATTGAAAGCTCTTCCGTCACTCCAGCTCTTCGTGAGATCCTTCACATTGATGAGGTCATCATAGCTAGAGCAAATTTATAAATAGGTAAGTCTGACTGATAGTGTCGATACTTACAAACTTTCCGCACATGTTTTGGCTGTTGCACCCTCAGCTAAAGCATTTAGACCTACGCATGTTACTCGGCATTAAAGAAATACTGAATATATACAAAGAGGCAGAACGTGAACATTATAAACAGGAGTTTTTATCAGTCGTTAGCAGGGCCGCACTAGAACTTTGATTGGAGGAGGGGTTGATTATTCAAAGAATCAGGGGCCAATTGCACGAAGCTTGGATAGCGTTATCCATTGGATGCTAAAATGTTCAAACTTCTAAAAAAGGTGTTTATATTTTCCTTACGAAGAAGAAATTCTGAAATCTTAGAAGCAATATTATATTTCAGTGATAGCTCAGTTCAAAGTTTATATTTTTCCCTTTTATAAGACACTTTTTAAACGTTAAAAAAAATTTCCTATCCAGTGGATAGCGTTCTTCGGCCGGGCACTACAATATAGTATAGTAATCAATGACCTAGAATTCAATCTGCCAGACACCTGACTCCAGCCGAAACTCTATAGTAACGAATGAGGCAAGCCGCCATCTTGAAAGGTGGCAAACTGACGATATTTACAATAAATATCTGCTTTTCCTGAGTTGATACACAGTTGCAGAGTTTATAGTCTTGATTTGATTTTCAAAATATTTTATAGGATTGGTTTCTATTTCTTTTAGCTTATTTTTCACTTTGGTTTTTGCTTTTCGCCACATTTCAAGATAGCGTCCTTGCCTCACCTTGACACGGTAGTTAGCCATCAAGGTGATGGGTTTCTAAATCGTTCATACGACTATACACCTCCAACAAATAAGGTTCAAGGGATGTAACGCTTCAGAATTCTATCTATGTACAGTACATAGACAAGAGTTTATTTCTATTAGTATGTGCTTAATAAATGCATTATATAATGTGAAAACGTCTTCAAAAAACAAGCTTTTCGCGATGATTGGAGATTGTAAATGCATTTTATTCATTGTTTCATTTTCTGGTTTTGCAAATAATATAGATCGATGGACTGTGTAAATAAGTCAATCTCGACATGTTGATTTGGTCACGTAGCTATACTAAAACCAATCGACAGAAAAATACTGTTTTCGGCCTTTTTTACACATAAATGTCACCTCTTTACAAAATTTCCTATCCAAATTGCTAAATAGCTCATACCCGTCAATAGCGTTCTGCACCCAATGTAAAAGCTTATCTTCGACAGCAGCTTCCTTGCTAGGTTTCAATTTCTTTTTTGAGGAAGAACCACCACCAGCTGAAACGTTCGACCGCGTCTCCAGCTCAAAGCTTTCTCCCGTCATTGCACCATGCACCTATTATCAATTAAATAATTAAAGTTAATGTCCTTTATGACCACGAAAATTTCAGGGAAAATTTATTACGGAAACACTTGAACGGCACGTTGTCTTGTTGTCGGCCTACACTGAAGTATCGGTACTTTAGATAATCAAAAAATTATCGACTTAGTATTGATACTTTGGTTAAATATTCATATTTTAAATACCACTCCCTTGGCTGGTTTATGATTAAAATAAATTGCTACGAGGTTTCGCATATAGATAGCTCTTTGCTACGAAGGAGCATGAAATGACACAGAACTGCTGAATTGTCTTATTAACCAAATGACCTTGAATAAAACCGCACATTTTCAGAACAACTATAATGATGACAGCAATTTAATACGGGAGGAATTTTCGATTTAAAAATACGATCAACCGCAGCAAGTCTTCCATGGGAACAATTGTAAACCACAAATTTGAAAACATAGGTAAATATCGCAAAATTGCAACTCATCGTCACACATGACAGTGCCCAGCCTATCGTATACTTTCTGGTGAAGTTGACAAATATCGATGCATTATAAAAAGATTGCGGAACGAAAATATTTTACAGCTACCTGATAATGCAAGATGATTGACCAAACGAGGCCAAGAGTTGATTTATGAATGCCATCGGCAATCGCTTGTGCACTGATGCCATGAAGTTTTATCTGGAAAAAGACAGGCAATATTATGCACATGAACTACGAATACTGAAAAGGACCACAGCCAATTGTAATTTTCAAATTGACATAACTCAACTTGTGCAAGCTAAGATGTAAATTTCTTTCATAATTCAGTCAACTCCATAATATTTCGTGCATTGTAAATGAAATGGGCAGAAAATATACCCAAGATTGTTATGATGTTTTAAATCGTAAAATGGGTCTTTGTTTCACAACGTTTTGGAACTAACGTTAACACAAAAAAGCACAAAACGTATGTATGAAATAAACTTACGTTGTCATTTTCCATAGTTTTTATAACAATTTCAAGGTTGCTGACATGGTGAATGCGCAATCTTCCTCTTTCCCTTGGCTAAAGAACACAGAAAATGTTACATCGACAAGAAGAGGGAAAACTATTAAAGTGCCTGACGTGCCACACACTGATTTGGAAAAGCAAAAAGATTGTTTTGCATCCAGAGGCGTCGGAAAAGCGGGAGAGGGCAGAGCAGACTACAGCTATATCACTTTTCTTCAAAGGGAGTCAGTGCCCCCCCCCAGTGACGAAGCAAACTCGATATTCGGAGGGAGGGCATACATAGTCATATATACATATTCGGCCGTATTAAGTCTATTTGAAATCTACAGTTCTCTGCGGATTCTAACATGAATTTTTGTGCCCCCCTTCCAAGACTTAATAAGTTTGCTACGCCACTCCCACTTACTTTGCACTAAAATAGAAAAATTACTATCGGTCGACTTCGACTATGAAACATAAGTATCTACAGCCAAGTAGACATGAAGTAAGGATTCGCGCAGGAAGCCTGAGCCATTTTTCATTATAAGCCTATAATTTGTTAGCATTACCTGCTGAGACAGGAAACGCTTTAAGGTGAAATCATTTATATTTTTTCTACATGATAATGACGGCATCATTTACTTTATATCAGATATTCATGCCATGTTTTCGATAAGCATGCATTTATAAAAACTTACGTAAAATGAGAAATGCCTTATGTAATGATTAAAAATGTTCAAACTTTCATTTTTCAATTTTATCTAATTTACACAACATGCAGAAAATATATTATTCCTATCAAAGCGGTACTCAAAAATTCTAGAATACCCCTCCACCCCACACACACACTTTTATTGTGCTTCCGAGACCTTGATTGCATCCAATCAGGTTGTAAGTTACAACTTGTAACCCAAACTACGTAAAAGCACTATTGATAATGCGCATTTAATCAAAACGACAAGTTTTTTTTATGAAACCTTTCGACACCTTTTAAAATCACCTTCATGCAAAACTAACTATACTCCCTCTTGCTTTAAAATCATCGACACTGCAGGTACTACATTCGCACTCAAAATCAAAGAAGCACATTAACAAAACTAACCCGAATCTTAACGTTCAAGTTTCTCGTTTTAACACTATATTCAGCCTGTAAATACTTTCATCATTAATTCTTACCACTATTTCATTGTAATATAATAATCTATTCATAAGTGTATAAATTGTATCACAGTATCATATTACTCTTATATATATTCATCACACACATAATACTCCTTATAATACTGAAGATAAGAATTAAGATTAAGAGGGTTGGAAGGATGAATGTGTCCGTCCAATGAGCACATGGAAAATTAACAATAATCATTGGAAATCACATGACATTATATTTCACAAATTTTTGGAATAAAATATTTAAATGGCCTAACGAAATCACGACGATATAAACTCCGCAAATTTACCAGTCTTTTATTTTTCAGAACTTCCAAGAGCGTCAGCAACACGTGACCATTACGTAAATCTTCAAAGAGATCGGTGATTTCTACCTTCGGTTGAACCTAAAAATTCGAAAGACCCTTTGATTTCAACCGGCGCATTATCAAAGAATGAAATACAATGAAATATTGAAGGGAGAAACGAAAGTTTCGGGAATAATTTTGCACTAGATATGGATATACTAAAAAAGTTGTCAGAATTTATATTTATTTTTTATTTACACATGCCAAGCGATATTTTTGATTTCCTGCAATCTGATTGGCTACAGCAGCAGGCAGCTTTTTACTATAACTTGACCGCTGTCCAAAACTGCTATTTTTTGCAATGCATTAGTTTAATTACGCAGTGAAATTTAAATTTTGAAAATTGATTCATGAGCCATAAAAATTATTCAAGGAGAAAGCAAAATGTATTCAGACGGCAGTTATCATAAATGGAGTGAATTTTACTATATTGAGAAAGTTAGAAAACAATCCAATTTAAATCTCAATAAGCCACATCGGCCATTTTACAACGCGAATTTCTTCATTATAAAATTTAAAAAAATGAAAGCCTCATTTACCGTTCAGGTCAGCCTACTGAAAATTTTTCATTACGGACCTCCAAGCCGGTAAATGAGAAAAAAAACAAACGGTCAAAAAGAATGACCTACTCAACCTCGGAAAGTTTTGAATTGATCCATTTTGTAAACGTTCTGATGTTTGACACTTCTCTTTCATCTGAAATAAAAAAAAAACAAAGTCCGCATAAGCTAACATTGCCTTCTTTGAGCAGGACTTTTATTTCACGTTGGGGTTCTACAAGTCATTAACCCCATCCCTTCCCCCATCGGTTATTTTAACAACTAAATGAAGTGCGCCAACTGTGCGAATCAAATTGTACGCAGGGAAATAAAAAGATTGTAATTCCAATGATTTTCAACCTAATTCCCTTGATGTCTAACTACGGCGTGAAAGTGACGCACTAGGACCCCATCTTGAAAGGTGGCAAAAAGCAAAATTCAAAATCAAAAATAAGTTAAAAGAAAGTTTAAAAACCCAATCCTATTGAACATTTTAAAAATCAAACCTAGACTATCAACTCTGCAACTGTATATCAAGTCAGGAAAAGCAGATATTAGTCGTAAAATCGTCGATTTTGCCACGTTTTAAGATGACCTTGCCTTACAGGTAGGTAAGTATAGATTTGGGTCTAAGTCATTGGAAAAGAGTATTCCCTTTCAGATCATATTTGTAGAATTTTACTGCTAATGAAATTTTAATTTCCTCATAATTCTTAAGCGTTTAATGCCCATGAGTTATGAATATGAACCGAAAACGAAAATCAGTTATATATGCATATATGCTATAGAGAAAAGAATTTAAACAATCTATGATGATTTATTAATATAATTGTTCTATTTTTGGAGTGCCCTTGGTGACGCATTCAAGGGCAGTGCTATAATGCAATACAGTACCATTTATGTTATAATATAATATAATATTGCATAATATATGATTATTGTGCAATATAATGAATACAATATAATGACTTTTAACAGTGATAAGGCGCGTTTGCACATACAGAATGTATTGCAAAACGAATCGAACAGTTATCACAAGATGGAAAATGAAAAAACTAAATTTCTTTGCGAAAGTTCTACAATAGTATTTGAAATCAAAAGAAATAGCTATGTTTCGTCAGATTCCAATATATTTGAGAGGCAAAAGAGAATCTTTCATCATGACACGCGCGAGTAATGAACCATCTATCGTAAACAATAAAACATCTTGAAATGATAAAGCATTGAATAAAGATCCTTATCTCGCGTTCTTATCGCAAAAGGAAACCGTCAATGACAATAAATTCTCTCAAATGAACACTAAAACGTGGGCAGGTATGTCGGTGGGGAGATTGATTTAGTGCCATTAATTTCGTCAACGTCACGTCGTAGTCACAGGAGACAGTTTAAACACGCCAAAAAATGTCATTCATCAAATAAGTATTGAAACTTTGAAATTCTTAAAATAGCACAACACTATTTAAACAAATAGACGAATACTCAAAAAACTTTTCCTAAAGAATGGAAGGAAAGCAAAAGTATTGGTGGTCGGACAATTCAAAGACGTTTCAAGGTCAAATTTTTTTGTATTATTAAAAAACGGCATTTCATCTGATGTCTTTCACGTCTGAATACAACCCAAAATATGAACGGCTGAGTATCTTGTACAATCATGTTTACTAGTTAATATTTGTGTTTCTTTGATGCGATGCAGCTGCAATTTCTTTACAATTCCCATCCCACGGATTTGACTAAACTATTTTTATAAGGTAGCTACATCACTTGTTTTTGATGCATGTGCAAAATAATATGAATAGTTTTGCAATTGAGGTCACTATAAGTGAGGTTTTAAGCATATGAAAAGTTTCCCGCCGAAAAGTGGCTCCTCGTTGCAAATACCAACGAGCAATTATACTTGAGACAGAAGAATTCCAAAAATATTCAAGCACTGCATTGTCATTGCATTTTCGTTTTAAAAAGGTAGATAACTTAACGACACACAAACTATATTTGCTGTTATGATTGTCAATAAGCAAAACGCTTAAATTTCTGCTCAAATCTCAGTCAGTATCGACAAGAACTGTCATGTTTACTTACTAGTCAATTATACTTCAAAAGTACAAGTAAAGAAAGCCTTACCACAAGTGCTTGGATCGAGTGGAAACAGCCCATTCGGAAATATTGTATTTACTCATTAGAAATACGCATTGACTGCCGCAGTTAGGAAGACAAATGTCCGAAAAATTCGCAATGACTAGTAAAAAATATGAGCAAACCCCGTGGATTAGCACGAAATTATAATCTATAATTAATGAAAGTCTAGTTTAGACAGACCTGTTCTCGTCCGTATGGTTTCTGTTATGTCCTGAGGCTCCATTGTTGACGAATTTACCAAACTACGAAGGACATTCTAGTGGAATTTCGCGCTCATCGTTGAATATACATTTTGTCCGAACGATATGTTGTGGTTTCAGCAACGTTTATGTACGACACGCATGAATACTCTGTACAAATTCAACTTTTCGATGATTTGCATATGGAATGCGTGTCTCAAAGACAACAGTATGCTTGAAAGTTCAAGAGACTTCCATCAAAGAGACGTCCAAAATACACGCCTTATACGAGACCATCACCAACTTGGGTTTTCAGCTAAAAAATGCAAACAAGCAATTACTTGGGTAGTTTAAAGGATTAAAATGGCAACAGTTCCCAGCAAACAGTTCTTTGATGTCATAATCCACTTTCTTCAAATACGTTGCGTTGAAAAACTATGCCAACGGTTGAGTCACACGCTAACACAATGTGAAAACAACAATATCGTTATGATAGTCAGAATTCTCAAATTTCTTACGAAGAAAGGACAACAAAGAACTCAACCTCCCCAGTCCCTACCCTCATCTTTTCCATTAAAATCATCGAAACAATGAAGAACTTCTTAACTTCAGGCTATTCTGTACATAAAAAGATACACTCATTCGATATGATTTAAGCCTCAAACAAATGGTTGGTATTTTAAAGTTCTGTGGATTTTTTAAGTAAAAAATTCTTTTGCAATTGAGTTATGCAAGTGTTGCGCGAGAAAGCTCTCGACGCCGGTTATTTTTAGTACAATTGTTCAAATGCCAAAAGATTGATGTACAAAGGAGTTGACACAAAAGAAGCCGGTAGTGACAGTCTTAGTGGTATCGTGATGCTCAAATAATCCTTTGACAAAGGATAGAGAATCCGAGAATTCGATAAAATCGATCAAATAAGATAAGTTTACCGAAATTATTTGAACTGGCATATGTAGTCATTGTAAAGCTGCAATGAAATCTGACGAACCGGCAACAAGGCACTAAAAGAATTGGCTTCAGTCTTTTAGTTGACAGAAGTGAGAAAACGATTGTTCTTTATTTTTTGTATTAGACAAAAACTGGTTAAGAATGCAATGAAATTGATAAACAACAGCAATCTGATTTTTTTTGTAATTTGATCGATATAGTTTGAATGTTCCTTTGAAGTTTGAACTGTTGATGCAAACTATTGTCATCAGTCATTAGCACGATAGTTAAAGTTTTCATACTTTCATATATACTTCAAAACAACAAATTTATTCAATTCTGTGCAATTTCTTGAAATTTGACAGGTTAAATAAGTACAGAGAAAACATGGTCTAAAATGGGGGACATTTGTCCATACACTCCCACCCCATTATTGTTGGGCAATTGTGGTATAAGATCACGTTGTACATGGTTTCGTTCATGAAAAGGTTTATTCTCCTCAATAGATCAAGGTGGGCGAAAGAATGACATACAGCCTCCTCAATCGTCATTCTTCCGCCCCCGCCCCCCTCCCATACAGATAAGTTAGAACTGAATGAAAAGTGTTCGTTCACTTTTAGCATAAGACGTTCTCTTCATTGGTTAACTTATATGGAAAAAACGCACAAAAGCAATTGATTGCATAAGGAATGTATGCATGTTTAATGTAAATATTTTTCACACAGTTGAGCACTTTTCTCCTAAGCGATTCGACGAAGAAGCGTGGCTCATCTGCATCTTATCTGTGTTTTCATATAAGGGAAATTTTCTATGTGATGTTCAAAAATCTCACCAGGAGTTAGACAGATGAAACTATAAGCGTAAAATATTCATAAAAAGTAAACCAGACTGGATTAGTTGAGTATTAGTTGAGTATTAGTTGAGTATTGTTTTTCCCAGAGGCATTTTAAAGACCGGGGGTCTTTAAAAAGCGAAAAATGACCCGGGGCCAAACAACGCTAGGAAAAGACACTGGGAACGAGGAACAAATCGGCCCCGCAAAGAGTGAAGTGGATGCAACACTTTCATGATCCGAACACGAGTGCAAATGATCAAAGCGCAAGAAGCCATTCGAGAGACATTGTCAGAAAAGATTTCTACAAAGCGGACACGTCGAATTGTTACTGGTGCTGAACCAACGATACAGACAGGCGGCGTGAAACCTTTTCTTGCACGTTTTACATGTGAGTCTTGGCAAGGAGTAGTTCGAACCATGAATCACCGAAAAACAAATCATGCAGTCATCGACTCCTTCGAATTTCTTATCAACGTTTCGTTTCCATAGCAACAGACCATCCAGTATTGTGCCGTTCTGAAACACCGAAGTAAGAAGTTAACCCTTTGTCTACAAGCGTTGACGCGTGGCAACATCAACGAGACCATCCAAAACTCAAAGGAACAAAAACTCGGGTAGTAAAGGGTAAAGGACGTAGCCGGGTGCGGGGTGAACTGACCGGGCAACATACAACACGCTATAATAACGGTTGAAAACTAATGGTCACTTCCTAGATAATCGTCTATATTTTATATTTTATCGGCAAGATAACCACGAATGATCCGAATAATATGGAAATTACATTCAGTATCAACTAGAAAGAAGTAAATCATGTTAGTAAACTGATGGTTTCATATAGAATGTCTACAAAGACGCAAGTTCATAAAACTAACATTGAGCAAAAAGATTTGAAACAACAGTTGCTTCGTATCGTTTTGCGCGTAAAGGGATGAATTTGTTTAGTGTTCCGCAACTTTGCTGTACAAATGACATTTGAGTTCGTCAAGGTTTTTGATTGATTTATTCGTTTCAACACACTTCAAACAATCCAAATTGGTCATGCCCAATTCAGTTTCAACATAAAAAGCATGTAGCTTGCTTATTCGTGAAATTTTAGCTTGTGGCAAAACATGTTATAAAACACTTGCCGTGATCAACGTAAATACGACTTGAAAAATGCACCGAACAGAAAAAAAAAGAGAAAGAACGTTTCCACAACATCTTGTTTCATAACTTTAAATGTCTTCATTTACAAACCTGATGCATGAGGAACGTTGTGAGTTGCATCATCCAAAGACGCCATTGATTTAACTTCACACCAACTCTTTTCCCACAATTGACGTTGATTAAGCCCAGTGGATAACTGGATGGAAGACATACGATCAATTCAATGGAGATGTCCTCGATCCTGTAAAAGGCAATGACCTCACGAGTACTGGAACGAGTAACGATCTCCATATTGTCGTAGGATGACGTCACGGCTTTTTGAAGATCGTGCAGCTCGGCTTCGACAAGCCGATGAGCGATGTGCGATGTTGTATACCTATTAATGTTTTGAGATGCATATCATGGATAAGGAGGTTGTAATGGGGATTGTATACTAAATGTAACAACAATATCTTAACTCATTTTTAGAAAAATCTATTGTTTTGATTTATTGCAGAAACTAAACACAGAAAAATTTACATAGCATGACTAAATTTACGGGCTGGCTACTTCCGTTATCAAAGGGAAGGTCAACGATTCAATTCATATGTCCAGCTTAGTAGTATTGTTATTAGTATTAGTATTGGTATTGGTATATATAAATAAACTAGATAACTATAGCCCATATTTTTCAATTTGATACTATCGACATTTATCGCGGCAAATATATAAATTAAGCTAAAAAATGGAATGGTTTTACTAGCCTTAAAAAGGCTGAAATAGCCAGAACAAAATAACCTAATTTTTTACAGCGACGTTCAACGCATGAAGAAAGCAACATATTCGGTACAATTCGAGCTTTACGAATCATAAAAGTGACAATGCTGCATTAACTATAGTCTTTACTAATCGTACATGTGTTCCTGCTACAGAGACGTCTGCGCTCTAAGGTTTGAAGCCAAGGTGACGGATGAAAATAAGCTTGACTGACAAAACTACACGAACACAATTATCTACAACAAAAACATTTTCGATTCATTACCTCTCAACGATCAAAGCATATTTTTTCTCCAAACCGTTCCACCAATGTCTAACCAATGCAGGTAAGGTTCGTAGAAGATTATAATACGTTTCGAGTGCCAAACAGTGAACGAAACTTTCCGTTGCGATTTCTTTCCTTGTGAAGGTCGACTCGGTCGCAGAAAGCCCGCCATCGCGTGGCTTCTTTGGTAAAACGCGAAACAACGCCTCCAGAAGCTCACTCAGGAAATTCCTCTGTTGTAAGTAATTAGCATATTCCGCGCGCAGCTGTTGGCTCGCATGGCTGAAATGCAACAGCAGAAGCTTCCAAGAAAAGAAAAAGGAACGAGCGACGTGTAAAGCTTCGTCGTCGTTCTCCATATGAAGTGTTTCGCCGAACGGTACTTCGACTTCCGAAAAGATTTGGAAAAGTCTAGCTCGACCATTTCTTATTATCTCCATGATTTGTGAAGGAGGTGACCTGAATGATAAAAAATTGGGTGTGCATACATTGCATAATGAAAGGACAACAGACATTCGTTTGGTAAAATTTGTCACAATTATATGGTGTCCCAATGAAATATATTGGTTTCATATGAACCATGCGCACTATTAAATAAATAAGGAGATCAAGTACATTGATTTCTAATGTAGAAAGTTTAAGAAGTGGACTTTTCGTTTCATCAACAACACAATACAACGCTATTTAAACAACCACAAAAGTACTGACTCATCCAACTCCACAAGTAACACAAACGATAAACAACAAACTGCTAATAAACGTTATTTCAAACTACCTTATATAGGCCATTACTTACGACACACTCAACGCAAACTCGCACAAATCATTAAACGCCACTGTACTGACATCGAGATCAAACTTATTTTTACACCTTTCACGGTGAAATCACTTATCTCATTCAAAGATTCACGACCTGAACTTTCTAAATCAATGGTAGTTTATCAATTTTCATGAGCGGGTTGTAACTCCCGCTATATTGGCAAAACATCTCGCCAATTATCTACCATGATAAAGGAACACGCTCACACAGACAAGAACTCCACTATCTACAAGCATCTTCATGCCTCTTCTTCGTGTGAAAATAAATTTTCACCTTCCTGTGTTAAAATCATCGACACGGATCAATCAACTTTCTCTCTCAAAATCAAAGAAGCTATGCTCATTAACGAAAAGAACGATAATTTAAATGTCAATGTTCACCAATTCCCAAAAACATGTCATTACATTGCCAACTTTTCACCACTAACCTGCAAGGATCATCACGTTCGTCACTAGGAACAACGAGCGTTTCTTGAATTTCCTTGGGAATAACGAGTGAAGGCATAACCCTGAAAGTTAAGTAAAAAAAGACAAGGTGAATAGCTTCTTGTTGAAATGAAAAATATTGACTAAACTATTCAATTTGACGTTGCCGTGTAGTAGCAAGTAAATTACATATCCTGCACGACCAAAGTGCCGTAAGTCTCAAAAAATACGGAATCCCAAAACAAAAAAAAACGGATTATAAGCTACACGAAAGCCAGCCTGCAAATCTGGTCGTGCAACTGTGGATCAATAGCGTTATTCATTTCTTTATAAATCTATTGTTTCTACAGTGAACGAACACCAGATTAGCAGGCTGGCTACGCCACTGGACGGAAGGGATAAAAGAAATAAACTCTTACTTTAAAAAAAGACGATAAATTGCCAACTGGACAGTGCCAAAACTCGAATTGATGTGCTTGATGAAAATTTCCAGGAATTTGTATTCCCATGACGACTGTTCGGCAGTGTTTTCTGACAAGTCGGACTTAACAAATTCCTTCAGATTATCTTCATTTAAATAAGCGCAAGCAATGGACAAGCTTTCACTGAGGCAGTATAAGTAACTATGGAGTCTATGATCCACTGCTTTGAAGGATTCTTTAAAGGAAAAACTCGATTCATTTAAATATCTGGCATTCACTCGGGCTACTCGAGAAAAGTGTTTGGTTAGATTTGCGAATTATAATTATTGCTAAAAAGCACAACGAAATTCACAGCAATCTCATATGTAGAAATATGTTGTTTTAAGTGTCTATGACGCATAACGTATTATTGTCTTGAATAAAAATGTAATAAAAATTTTTCTTCAAAATTTATGTTCGCTTTTGCAGTCAGCTTTTAGCTTTTGCATGTCTTACAGAGCATGTCGCCGAAGAGAAGAGCAAGCGAAGCCTTGAGCGCTGATACAAAGCTTTTCATCTCAATCGGTAGTCGTTTCCTGTTATAAACCAACAGTGAGCTTGGCCATTGCTCTCATGAAGTCACGACGGCCACACTCAAAGAGGCAAATGACAACGTGCAAAGTGATTTTGAAATGAAAAAAATCGACAAAAATCCTACCTGCAAAACGCAACGTTATTCGAAGTAGATTACCATGGGCAGAAATGCTGAAGAACTCTTGCCACTCCTCCGAAAGTTTTTTCAACATTTCATCCGCAGAAGTGCGCGTGTTCTGTTCATCATTATTATCTAGAAGCTGCGTCATATACTTGGCAACAACTTCAAGAAGCTTGCAAACGTGGTTCGTCATAGCACAAACGTGAACGGCCTTTAAATTACTTTCTTGGCAACCCTACAAGAAAACGTCGACAAACGTCGACATTAACAAACGGTCGACAATCTATAATACAACGAATCTTACGTTCTTTAACCTACAATTCAGTATCCTCAGCAGAAAGCTCATGTTTATATCATGCTCATTTCTTAAATATAAACCAGTGTACACCTCTAATCTTTTCTGACCTGAATAACCCAAAGCAATCGTTCACACAGTGAACTCATCGTTTGATAATAAATTCAAAAACGTCTTGTTAAATTAACCTTGTTTTCGTAATCGCTCGCACTAGTTTAAGATATGTTGCATAAGTGGTACATCGACCGAAATAAGTTTAACGTTAATATGTCGCACCAATCGTATACCGAACGAAACAAGTTTAACAAGAATATGTCGCGCCATTGGTATACTTATCAAAACAAATTTAACATGAATAAGTTGTACCAGTGGCACACTTAATGAAGCAGTTGATATTAACAAGTTTTATCAGTGACATACCCGAACAAAGCAAGTTTAAGGGTAATAAGTCGACAAAAATGAAACTAACTGCAGTTGATCTTCAACAATTTCTTTAGGAAGAAGTCACATGAGCCGTCTTTTTTTGCTTTACCATAACACTCACATTACGTTCTTATTATACCATACTACCTTCAAACTATCCCCAAAATATTACCCTAAGTACCTGAAGCCAATCCAGCATTGAGCAGAGTATTGTATCCCAAAGTTCATTGTCAATATGCTCAGGAAAATTTGCAACCGTTGACACCATGATTTGAATCAAGGCCAAATTGAGGGACAGTTGTGCTGCGCCCACGTCATTTAATGGGCAGTTGAAGAATAGTAAATGCGATAGATCATTTTGCCGAGCCTTGAAATCCACTAGCACTTCAAATAATGTGACGCGACATTCCAACGATGCTATTTCAGAATCTTCAGACAAGATGATCCATTTTTTGAAAGCACACGAAAGCACACAATAGCAAAACATTTGACCTGAAAATGGAAAGAATTCTGCTTTCAAAGCTGTAAAAAAAGGCCTCGATTGGTATTGCGACAACTGAAACGACTATCTTCGACAAACTGATCTCTCCAGATTTTTGTTACCGCGTAAAATCGTTGCTTTACCTTGTAAATTACTGCCATCAGTTCGACTAAGAATTTTAATATAATGTTCTACGACAAATTTGAGGTTGTAAATGCAAGTTTCGGCTTGGAGTAAACATTGTAGAGTTTGAAGCCTTCCTTCATCGTAAGACTCTTCCTCGCCTTCCATTATTTCTATCAAAATGGGATGCGTAATAGAAATATCTTCATCGTAAACATCGACAGGCGCTTTCAGAGTCAAAGACCATAAACCACCACTGCTAATCGATAGTTTCAACAATCGATTGATCAAACAAGTCGACGTTTTCAGATTCCGTTTCGAGAGGAATGGTTCGAGGTTCGATTCGATAATGGATTGAAGTTGATATTTCGATCTTCCGTCGTGTTTCAAACACTGCAAATAAAGTACGGTCAGCATATTATTTTGCTCGATGCAAGAACACTGAGACATGGATGACATAAGATGAAAAAGTATGTGTCACAAAAGACATGAGTGGATACCAATGGATAACTAAAATGAAATAGACTTAAGATATCAGTAGTTGGTAACATTGATGATGGTGACATTTGGTGCGAAAGATTACGGCGGTGGAAAAATTTAAATTAAACGCGTGGTATGACAGTTTATGAACTTTGCGAGTAGATGGTGAAAGTAGCACATATTGAAGTTGAAACACTTACAGGATAATGGAGAATCAGTATTTGTAAACGGTGCGAATACAACAGACACGAGATAATAAGGAATAGTAAAGTAAAAAAAGATTGAAGTCTGCCATTTGCGTTCAGTAATAAAACCATCTCGACAGAAACTAGCAGCAATGAAGTACTCCATTTTGACTTACCTCATTCATCCATAATAACTCAAGGACAATCTTCCACAAAAGCTCATCTTGCATTACCACATCCTCGGGCAAGAATGTATTAAAATATTGCTGTTCGAGTACATGAGAGAGGAACAAGCACAGCCTATGGTGTTTAGTGAAGTTTTCTGAACAGCTTGTCGCGCTCGGAAACTTCATGAAACTCAACTGACCGTCAGTGAATGGCAGCATGGCCCACGTCGACTATAACATATATATATATATATATAATTATTATGGATAATATTCCTGGATAAAAGAGCGCTCAATATTCTATATATTAGAAGAACGTAAGATAAAATGAACTAAAATAAAATGGACAATTGTTTGCTGTCGCTACTCGGAGTTTCACGCCGTAGGGCGATCTTCAGGCAACTGACAGATTATATTCTATTTGCTGACTATATACATCGACTAAAAGGTGTTAAGTTACATGACGGCATGCACTAAACATATCGGAACGTTTATTTAAAATGTTCTTTTTACGTCCTTTCAGGATAAGTAGCCTTTCTTCAAGGCAAAGACGGCAGGTTCTTTGGTTTTTTGTTTGGAGGTGGAAGTTGTTTGATGAAGTCCCATTTAATGTTGTAGTTACGTTTGTTTTCTTTCAGTGTCCACGTGTATTTAGAAAGTTCTGTCTCGTTCCGGTATTTAATGTTCGTAATTGATTTAATGTGGTTTCGATATCGTGTCTTAAAAGCGCATGCAGTAACACCTATGTAAGTTTTGGTTTCGTTGTTGTCAGTCGTTGTCACGTCGGCTTTGTAAATCACGTTGGGTTTCAGGCAATTGCCATTTGTCGGGCATAGATGTTTCTGTCTGCAGTTACATTTTTTTGGTGGGTTGTTCTTGTTCTGGGTTGTGTCTGGGTTAAGTCTTTTTAAAATAGTCTTTTTAAAATATATTAAATAGTATATAAAACATAAATATATATATAAAATATATATATTTATGTTTGTGGGTTGTTCTTGTTCTGGGTTGTGTCTGGGTTAAGTCTTTTAAAATATTTTAAAATATATTAAATAGTATATAAAACATAAATATATATATAAAATATATATATATATATATAAAATATATAAAAATATATAAAAATATAAAACATATTAAATAGTCTTTTTAAAATATATTCGCTCCTTCTGAAGTTGAGCGCTGTTATAAACCTGAAAACTCAAGGACAATTATGCAACAGATTAACTTTAACTATTCGCTGAAAAACATTGGCCTACCAGCTAAAGACAGTTATCTCAGAAACCTCATCACCAAAACCCACGAATTCGTACAACGCATGAGATGGAAAGCCCACTTCTTTCTCCGCCACACTGACGACGCCATTCGCACACAAAGACCGCACACTTATGGCTTAAAGACAAAACGAAATCCACCACCAGTTCCATCCTTAAAACCTTTTGAAGACGACCTTTCCCAGTTAATCGAAAACATCGAGTTCCGCAACATCCACAACGATTTTCTAAAATCATTACACAAAGACATGAACAAAATCAACGCATCAAACAACGTCTTCATCTTCGCCGACAAAACAACAAACATCTATGAAATGGACGCCTCAAATTACAATAAACTACTAACAGACAATGTGACAAAGACATACAAACACACGCAAGAAGACACTGTAGAAGAAATAAATTCCGAACTAAAACTAATCGCTGACAACCTAAAAATCGCCGACCGAATAAACACCATGAACCATACTCCAGCATTCATATCTTTAAAAGACCACAAACCAGACTTTGAAAACAACCCCAAATGCCGCCTCATCAACCCCGCAAAAACCACCTCGGAAAAGTCAGCAAATACATCCTAGACAACATCAACAACATAATACGAAACGAACTAAAACTAAACCAATGGCGCAACACAACAGATACTATCACTTGGTTCAAATCCATCACCGAAAAACAAAGAAAATCATTCATATCATTCGACATAGTTGATTTTTACCCTTCGATCACCGAACACCTACTGGACAAATGCCTAGCGTGGGCAAAACAATACACAACAATCACAGAAAAAGACCACACCATTATCAAACACGCAAGAAAATCACTTCTTTTCCACCAAAACAAATCATGGTCCAAACGCAACGCTACCAACACGTTTGATGTAACCATGGGCAGCTATGATAGAGCGGAAGTTTGCGAGCTTGTAGGGCTATTCTTACTCGACCAACTTCAGCAACGGTATGGAAACAACGTCGGCTTATACCGTGACGATGGCCTTGCAGTCATAAATACGAAATCTGGAAGACTCTGCGACAAAGAAAGAAAAACCCTCTCACACCTATTTGACGAGCTTGGACTAAAAATCACAGCGATGACAAACCATGAACGCACAAACTTCCTTGACGTAACATTTGACCTTAGCAACGACACCTACAAACCATATAGAAAACCCAACGACGAGCCCCTCTACATTCACAGATCGTCCAACCACCCACCATCAGTATTACGCCAACTACCCACATCCATCAACAACCGAATTAACACACTCTCATCTGGCAAAGACACCTTCGAAAATGCCGCACCAATTTACAACCAAGCTCTTAAACAAAGCAACTTCACCACACAACTCACCTTTAATCCATCAAACATCAATGTAAACACCACGTACAATAGAAAACGTAACGTCACTTGGTTTAACCCACCATACAGCAAAAACGTAAAAACACACATCGCCCATGACTTCCTACAACTTATCGACAAACATTTCCCACCAAATACTATACTCTCCAAGATATTCAACCGACACACAATACGCGTAAGCTACAGCTGCGGCGAAAACATGAAAACTTTCATAACCAGACACAACAAGACTATTTTAAAAGACTTAACCCAGACACAACCCAGAACAAGAACAACCCACCAAAAATGTAACTGCAGACAGAAACATCTATGCCCGACAAATGGCAATTGCCTGAAACCCAACGTGATTTACAAAGCCGACGTGACAACGACTGACAACAACGAAACCAAAACTTACATAGGTGTTACTGCATGCGCTTTTAAGACACGATATCGAAACCACATTAAATCAATTACGAACATTAAATACCGGAACGAGACAGAACTTTCTAAATACACGTGGACACTGAAAGAAAACAAACGTAACTACAACATTAAATGGGACTTCATCAAACAACTTCCACCTCCAAACAAAAACCAAAGAACCTGCCGTCTTTGCCTTGAAGAAAGGCTACTTATCCTGAAAGGACGTAAAAAGAACATTTTAAATAAACGTTCCGATATGTTTAGTGCATGCCGTCATGTAACTTAACACCTTTTAGTCGATGTATATAGTCAGCAAATAAAATATAATCTGTCAGTTGCCTGAAGATCGCCCTACGGCGTGAAACTCCGAGTAGCGACAGCAAACAATTGTCCATTTTATTTTAGTTCATTTTATATATATATATATATATATTTATATATTTATGGATGCAGTTGCTAGAGACGTTCAGGTTAGAGGTCAAATGGTTATAGTACAGAAAAACCAGAACCGACATAAATTATGTAGTCACTGAAATTGTTATGTACAATAATGTAATCGACATGCACAATAGTTAAATCACTTGTAAGTTCTGCACCTCTGGGATTTCATACGGTTAGTACAGTATGAGTTAAAGTAAAACAAGTTAAAAGTACTGATTTCAATCTCAAATTTAACAAGCAAAAGCTTTATAAAATCAGAGCGTCATGAAAATGAGTTATACCAGCCACAAAAACGCAATCATATTTACCCTAAGTTGTGACGAACATGAACAAAACTAGCGTGTAACTTAATCAACCTTGATGGAACAAATAGATATTGCAGACTAAATTATCTTATGCAGATTTCATTTTAACGCAGACATAATTATTTGAACGAGTTACGTTTTTTTTGGGAACCCGGTATAACGTAAGTTGTTCACTTTAACGAGTTACAGAGGACACAATCGCTATATTTTAAATAATCACTTCACTGTAACACGAAGATAGTGAAGGCTGGAAAGCGACTAAACACGTCAATCAGTCGGCAAGAGATTTTACCTTTGAGCGTGTTTCATCGCGTAGCCGTTCCCAGTCTTTATCTGACGGTGATATTTTTTTTAAAAATTTCTCTAAATGTTCGAAACTTCTTTCTGTGATGGAGCCAACTATTTCAGCCGCCGAAGCAGTTAAGGTAGATAGCCTATACAAAAACATGTACGCAAACTGTGGTCAGCGGAGATTGAAGTGCTACAAAGTGCTATAAGCACGAACACGAGACGTTTTTCATTCCGTGTTTGATCAAACAATTACTTAATGGTTTCGTGTGTGAAATTGCCTGATCCAAAAACGTGGGAATTAAGCAAGAATTAATATTAATCCGTCTAAATAATGTCTAAATTCGTAGAAAACGTTTGCCACCCCCAAGTATCGAGTTTGCTACGCCACGATTGCACCTGAAAATTGTAAACACATTTCTACAAAATAACGATATTGGGACGAATTGACCACTCACTCATACAGTTTTTCCATCAAATTCCCACAGAAATTCACTTAAAATAAATTCACTATGGACGCTAAACTGTTTCATTACGTACGTTTCAAAAGTCATCGTGACGTCAGAAGAGAGGAAAATGCGAATGTGTTCAGCGGTTTTCCACAAAATGATGTTGGACAATTGCTCGTCCGTACTTGAAGCATCGATCAAAGAATCCCAGCAGGCGATAATGGCAGGATCTAAATTGAAACATTTTTCAAAAAAAGTCATGACCACGGTTAAATTCGGAGAAGATTTTGATCTGAAGTCATTGAACAAAGACTAATAATGATGAGTCAAATTGTCACCAACAATGTGAAAAAAATAATAAAATTCACGAGTTATCATCGTGGACACTCACGCGTGAAACAATCCAAAAAAATTTTGATTGGTTAAACTTCAAAGACTTCGAGTCAATCACGTGTGATTTGTCTAATCACGCGACAGTGCAGAAAAATTTTAAAATCGGTAGCTAACCTTCGGTAGCCAGGCTTTTAATAACTTAAGGTAATAACGAAAGCCCAAAATATCAACATACAGAAGGTCATCTCCATTGAAGTTGGAATAAGCACTGGGCCAGTGAAGGTAACAGAAGTGATTCTCCTCCACCTGGGTACACATTCAAAAAGGAACAACCCCGGTAGGACGGTGGGGAAGGGGCACTGCAAAAGTAGCGAATCAGTGACGTATAGTGTTTACACGATAATAATTGGATTCGACCTTCTATATGTTAATAATCACTGACAGATGTTGTCAGCATTCGAATAACTTACAAGTTTCATCTTCAAACTTTAAATGGATAACGTCACCAATCACTTGGGTCAGTTTTTGAATCTAATGAAAGAAGTTAGTTGAATCAATCCCTGAAGTTGGAGAGCCAAAAAAATTCTCAGCGAACTCAAAGTTCTCTGTTTAATCAATAGACGGCTTTCGTTCCTGTCAACCAAACCAATGTCGATAACTAGTTGTAGGTAGTGACGTAGCCAGTTCCTGAGTTTGGTCGGGCTTTGTAAATATTATTGCGTTCACTCAACAAGAAAAAATAGATTTCCAAAGAAACGAAAAATGACAATGACCTCAAATTCACATAGCACGAACAAAACTTAAGGGGTGGCTGCGCTACTGCTGGAAAGATGGACGTAGTGTACACCATATATGTCAAGAGAAAAGAAACTAATGATCAGAGGATTTCAATGCCAACCTGAGAGCACACACTGCACCAAACAAAATAATTTCAACTTGTGCTGACCAATCACACGTCGTCAAGAGACGGTCGTAGGAGTTCGTAGGAGAGATTACTTATCAGTTCACAAAGTTGTTTAGTACTCAACGTTGTTTAGTACATAAAGTTGTTTAGTACACAAAGTTGTTCAGTTCACAAAGTTGTTTAGTACACAAAGTTGTTCTGTTAACAAAGTTGTTCAGTTCACAAAGTTGTTTAGTACACAAAGTTGTTCAGTTCACAAAGTTGTTTAATACACAAAGTTGTTCAGTTCACAAAGTTGTTTAGTACACAAAGTTGTTCAGTTCACAAAGTTGTTTAGTACACAAAGTTGTTCAGTTCACAAAGTTGTTAAGTACACAAAGTTGTTCAGTTCACAAAGTTGTTTAGTACACAAAGTTGTTCAGTACAAAAAGTTCTTTGGAACACAAAGAATAAACAAATGATGATGATTTTAAACGACATGGAGCCTAATGATGGAAAACTTTAAAAACATCAAGAGATTGACTTTGGGGTTTTAAGAAAATTGTACGGATAGAGGGCCAAATCGACAATTAGTGTGAACTTACCACACACACACACCCCGTATGATTTATAATTAGGGAAAAAGGAATATTCATACATGCATGATATGCCGAACTAAGTCCTACAGAAATCGATTGTTTTTTATGGATTATATTACACCATACATATATGAATATCCCCCGCCCCAAAATTATCCATCTGTGTACGTCACTGATCTCTCCTGCCCGCTATTCGTCTAAGACCTTAGCTCTAGCTACAGTAAAGTGAAAATTTATCAACATTTTCAACACTCATCATAAAAGACAATAATTTACCTCTGGTAACCAAGTGTTGTTTTTTAAATATTTCTCGACCAACTTTATAGTGGAATGAAGTATAGACCCACTACCTCCATTCTCTCGCATGAGGATGTGATGGAAGTTATCGAAAATGTCTTCGAGCGTTTCATCGTTAAGGAGAAAATGTAGCAAGTTTGAATGAGAGAAACAGAGATCTAGAGTATTCCATAAAAAGTTCATGTCCGTGTCGTTCACCATTTCACAATTAGATTTTGCAATGACATTTTTTAACGAGTTGGAAATTTCTGTTCCAATGTGGACACCATGAACGTATGATAGATAAAGATAATATTCGGCGTCGAAAATCTGAAGAATAATGAAAAACAGTTATTAAAATGAGCTTACTCCTGATACAGACACTACACTGGAGTATATTTACAAGGACTCGAGTTTCAACATGAGATAACTTTCGACGAAGAGACTAGACTGGAGTATTTAAGGACTCAAGTTTTAACATCAGATCACTCCTGGTGAAGACACTAGACTGGAGTGTATAAGAACTCAAGTTTCGACATCAGATTATTCCTGATAAAGGAACTAGACCGGAGTACATTGAAGATTCAAGTTTCCACATTACATCACTCCTGATAAAGACAATAGACTGGAGCATGCAAGAGCTTCAGTTTTAAATTTGATAACTCCTGATGAAGACACTCCACTTACGTTTGTAAAACAGAAACTACAACATGAAATCAGCCTTGAAGAAAACACAAAGGCAGTGTACATGATTAAGCACGCTGCGATAACTGTAAGAATGATCAGACCGCATATAAAAGACGGTACGTACCTTACTGACAAGATGAAACAGTAAGTCTGTCGTAGAATTTATCTATAAAAATAAATTTATTTACGTATCATAGCTATGACAATCTACAACAAATGTAAATAAAGAGAAAAACCTCGCAAACCCAAAGCAAAATATACTCACTTCAAACAAGCTCCTAAGAAGAAACCTCTGTTCGATTTCCTCCATATATACGAGCAATTTCAGAAGCAACTCGACAGCAGAACCGAGCCATTTCTCAACGAGCTGGTAACGAGAACCGTCGAAAAGCGCTAACAAAAACACCTTGGCGCATGCCAAACAAGCGTTCGACAACGTAGTACTCTCTAAAACATCGTTTTCCACAGGTATTTCATCGCCATTAAAATTCAACCTCGATATTTCCACGACATCATTCAATAAAGTTACGCATAGAAACTCTTTGATCAGTTCAGTAACAAGGACGAGATCAGTTTCGGAGTTTTTTGACCATAAGCGCTGCAAGCAAGAGCTCACGGTTTTTTTCACAATGGCCAGCAGTTTTCCACCAAAAATAATGGTGACATTTGCCAGAGAGATTTCCTTGTGAGATTTTGATTTTACAATCACAGGATCGGTGTCAACCTCTTCGTTGAAACGAACTTTAGAAAGTTGAATTAGTTTTGGGGCTTCTATTGACTTGAGACAAATCAGAAGTTTGGAAAGAGTCTTCATTTCCTACAAAACACAAAAAATATTCTGTGTCTGAGAGAGTCGCGATAACTAAAACTGGGGAAAGTGAAAACTTAAAGTGCACCCAGCTTTAAAGGGCACATGACTCGAAAATTGTGCTATTTAGATTATATTTTCATTGAACATAACTTTCAGAATGACAGTTCATGTAATGTACGCTTCACACAACTTGTGACGTCGCATTGCATAATAAGAAGTTGAAATAGCAGTTATATTTGCTGATATGTTAGCTACTTAAACTGAGCAGAGTTCCCTGCATTGTGAAGAATCACTGGTATAAACAATTGCCCGATCCTTTCGACCGAATGTTGCCTTCAAAATAAAGAATGTTTAAAACTTTGCAACTATCAATTATACAAAGCGACGTCAGAAGTTGTATAAATCGGACCTAACAAAAACTTCGATATCTTGAGAATGAAAAGAGATATGCATAAATTGCTTTAGAAAATACACTTTAAAAGCTATGTTGAATGAACATATAATTTTGATACCAAAACTTTCGAGTTGTATACCCTTTATAATCTTGTTTAAACGAATTTGATAAACTGTAAACGTAGAATAAAATTCGTGAAAGAATGTGGTGAATTGGATGAAAAATCGTGACTCTAAGCCTTGTGAAACACAGCTCATATTTGCGTGGTTAACGACCGCGTGAGAACTCTCACGTAAATTTCGGACAACACTTGCTGAATAACATTGCAAAATTCTATCGTGATATCCCAGTGCTAAAGCAACCATATAACAAGTTTTCCAACTTGGATATGACGAATAGTAGAAAATGGATGGGACTGTCATTTTGTCCGAAATTTACATCACATGCATAATCGATTCCAGAGTCCAAGTGCGACTACTTCGCATATGGCAAAACCGTGGTATTTTATGCCATTAAATTAATGAAATGTTTCACATTCACAACGCTTGGCGTCAAGATTTCATAGCAAAATCAAACAATGCTTTCACTATAATTATTCCAAGTTTACAATTTATCAAATTCGTAGAAAAAAAGTCAAAGGGGCTCTTTAAATAATCCATTCATACAGGTGAACTCGAATCAAACCGAACACGATAAGAAGGTGTTTTGCAGTATTTTTTTGAATGGTAGCTACAATCTTTATCTATGTCGGACAGTGTCATGAAGCCAACCTAAAATGTAATCTTAAATCGTTATCAACAGCGATATTTGTTACAAATTAGAAACACAGTGCAACGGAAAAATTATCAACAAGACCAGACCCCAAAGCTATTACGTGGTCTGTTAAATCTATAGTATTTTTGCTATCATGTGTACGCAAACAGCAGCCCATATCAAACGATCCTTTGAGGTGTGAAAGGAATAACAACTTTTCAGCTTCTCGTTAACAAATATATTGTTCATTGTTTTGTCTAGTACAAGACAGGAAAATACTTCAATATCGCGTCCAAATTATCGAGTTAATAACAGGCCTTAACTCAGCCATTATATATGTGTTAAGTTAAAAACGCATTTTTGCTTTCATGTGCGCGCAAACAGCTACGCAATCAAATGAATCTTAGAAAGAAATAACAGCCTTTCATTTTTTTGTTAACAAATGCTCGTGTTAATGGGGTCTTTTGTCAATTGCAAATTTCAACCCGTTTAGTTTTGCATTTTGAAAGTCAAGAAAAATGGCTACTATTTTTCATTGTTTTGTCCAGTACAGGACAAGAAAATAATTTTATATCGAGTCCAAATAATTGAGTCAACAACAGGCCTTACCTCGTCATCAGACGATTCGAAGACTTTTTCAGTCATCTCAACAAAGACCCTCCAAAATTTAGTTTGAATAGCAACATCGTCGGATGTGTTGTGCAAAAATCCCGACAGGCGTTCGTAGATCAAAGAATTTGCTGAACGCGTTGCACTTTTCGAAGCAAGGGAGATTTCGATCACAGAAATCAACTAAAACGACATAAAAACAATCGATTTAATGAAATGAATGAAGCAATAGAACAAATTCCATCTACAAACATTGAACTCTTTAAAAAATACAATAGACTGGAGAAAACACTACACAACATATCAGACGTAAATATCAACAGCAGATCACTACTTATGACAATGGCGGAGGAATATTGATATTTAAAGGGCTATATTCACATATTTATATATGTTACCATCAGTAATGACAATTGATTTAAAAAAAAACGTATATAGTAGAACATGCCCCCTCCCCCCAATTATCAACCTTCCATCGCCCTTGGATTATACAAGATCTGTAGTTTAAACACATGATAACTTCTGAATAGTGATGAACATACAAGTGTACAAAAAGCTACGAAGTCACTTAGTTGCAATATTAAGGGCTCGTGTTTCAATTAAAAAACAAAAAGATGTGTACTGTGTTTGCACAGGCTTAAGAAAACGAGGAGACCTTTGGGAAAACTCGTGAGCTAATCAATGCAAGCCTGAGACCAGAGGTCGATATATTTACAAAATAACAATAATGCGAAACAGACAAATTTCAAATACACGTTTTAATTTGTATTCATGATTAATTTGCAAATTCTCTCTGATTGATTTGATTGATTGAGCTCAGATCGGTTCGCACAGGCTAATGCAAACACACAGCTATTGACCAATCCCCGTACGTGTCTCATTGTGTTTAGCAAGTTTTGAAGACACGTCTTCCTCATGAACACTGTCGAACATTTACGATGACCCCCACCTTTTTCATAACAACATCGGAAAGTTTTTCAAGATAGTTTTCGTTTGTTTCCTGTCGATATTTTTTCGACACAGTTAACATGAAGTAGTTCACACAATCCATGAACGCTGACATTATTGCCTTACACTCCGAAGGACTTTGTTGTGTTCTTGGTAGATTTACACCATCCATGATCTTATCCAATAACTTCTCCGCAAAACCAGTGCCCGACAAAATAACCTGTGTTAGAAAAAAACTTAAGATTACATCACAACAGAAAAGAGAAACTTTGAAATTTGCTTGCTACTACAGAGCAAAACGTATAAAAGACTGATCACGTTCCCAAGAAATATAGAAGACGCTGTCCCTATAACATGGGCACTGAAATCACCGAATGGGCTAAAAACAAACATAGCCTTAGTTTTAGGAAGATTACATTTTGTATGAGCTGTCATTTTCATGTCACTAATGTGTGTATCTGAGCGAGCCAGACAAAAAATAGCTTTCCACAGTTGGCATTTTTGCATTCAGCTTGGTTTATAAATTAGATCGTGCTATGACGTAACATTTTCAAAAGGTCAACTGCTCACATCTATTGATGAACCTTCACTGCATGTAGCCCATAAAACATTTAGCATTTCCTACATGCTGAAGACTCTTATGTCGATTGACACGTGTGATTGACCCTGTCGACCTCGTTTCTAGGTCTCTTTTTGATTAAGAAGGAAGTTCTTTCTGGCTTTTTCGCTTGCGATTATGTGCTACTTCTGAAAAATGGCTAAGATGAACTTGAACTACGTATGTACATTGCAAAAAGTATCAACATATCACAAGTAATCCACGATGAGAATACATAATTGACACCCACACATTGGTCCTCTACACACAATACAATGACGTATGAACCAGACAAAAAATACGGCAAAACTGACGTTTATTCTTCACTTGACCGTGAAGATGAATGTCGCTAAGGTTGTAGAAACGTCAGTCAACATCAAAAACAATAGTCCTTCTCGTGACTCTACTATTCAGGACGATCTACATGTACATACATGTAACAATACTCCCGGGTTTACACCATTCACTTTAAACTCCTCACAGTGAACGAGAAACGTTGCCTAGGCAACATTCTTTCCATAACGAAAACAATATTTAGCTCTTGATACAGTCTACATCTGAATTCTCTGATATGACCAGTTTGTTACCTTTTCTGGCAAGCTATTGATAAGCGGAAGAACGCTGACCATAACTGCATGGGCATTTCCATAGGCAGCATTGCATAAAAAGAGCCACAATTTCGGCAATACGGCTTTTTGCATGTTCACGTGACTCCAACAATCCTGTCGAGTAAAGGAAATATTTACACCAAGTATCCACATGTTCTCTATCAGTTTAAGTTGAATTCGAGTTGATGTTCGCGAACATCACCCAAATGAGACGCCTAGCAGTCATTCAAGGCACAATCTAACCTTTTGAGAAGCAACAAGATGAAGAACAGCACCCCAGAGTGAAGTGACTACTGCACCATCCGATTCATCTAAAGATCCTAAGACTGTTGGGGTGATTAAATTAGAACATGACTCGATGATAGTCGGCAACTTCTCGCAATACGTGGAAATCAGCGAAAAAAACGATGCTCTTATCTATGAAAGAAAAAAGTCAATGGAATGAGAAAGACACATGAGATATGATCCAATAGATCAGTCATTTGATGTTTGATCAGAAGTCCGATGTCTTCATCAGAAGCAATCTGATGTTAAAACCTAAGTTTACAAGGATGTAGTGCAATGTAATTTCTTCATCACAAGTGATCTGATGTTCAAATTTGAGTTCTTATATATTAGGAATGATCTAATGTTGAAAATTGAGTCCCTAATCCGGCCTGGTGTCCTTTACACTGATGTTGAAACTTCAATCCTTCAGTCTAGCATCTGCACCATAAAAAATAACGATGGTCTTTTGAAACTCGAGCAGCTAGCAAATTCTGTCAACGACACGTTTTGATAGAAAATCTCTCTACTGTATGAACTTTAAGTGCCTATATCACCCCCAGGAAAATAATGTATTAAGATAGAGTTGCCAATTTTAAGAATATTTGCAATATATTTTTTAAGACGAGAATTTGAACTTCCTTGACTTTTTGGGCCTCAAAGTTGCCTTTTTTCGTGTTTGACCGTGAGGTACAGTGACTGCATCTAGTTCACCAGACGTGACGTACATTGCAGAACACGCTGCTTTTTATCCCTGTAGTTTATAGCAAAATTTTTAGCAAATTCAACAAACTTCTTTTTTAACTTGAGTTGTATTGTGCACTTTGTTAGTGAATCACACTATATTCTACAGCGTTGAAAAGCAATGTATTCTCCAATGCTCCATCAAAATAAATTATTTCCTTGTGGGTTATAAAGGCACTTTAAGTTGTTTTTTTCTGCTCAAATTTGTACGTCATTAACTGTTATAATGCAAGCTCTCGTGTCAATCTATTATCATCGGAAATAATTTACACTATGGTTTTCTCATACGACTCAAACGCTCCAACATCTTGTCCAGAAAACTTTTTCTCGTCCTAAGTAATAATGTTAGGATTTCACGCACACCTGTGATGATTTATGGCGCCCCAACTTCAGAAATTTCTTCTCCGAAGTGAGACTCTTATGATAACTAGCAACAAGAGCACGGGTATCTTTATTTACGTCGTTGAGAAACGTCCTCAAAGCTAGCAGCGACGATGCTATCACACGAATGTACTTGTCAGATCGATCTTTCTCGTCTACAATACTGAATAGAACATTGTTACATATCATTATACATGCTGCACAAAAACAACATTCCTAATGATGATTACGACAAATGTACAGATGAACATATCACTCTCCCTACTGGAACCAGTCGTTCCATTTTGTAGCAAAAGTTCTGAAATATAAAAACGGGACATGGCAAGCTAACTCTACGACCAGATTGCAGAAAAAAGTATAGCTCCATCACTAAGAATTTCAGCAGCCTGGTGTGTCAAGACCAATAATTTACAATGGATCCTGCATTTGAAATATTAGCCGTCTAATTAAGCAGTCAAATTAAAACATAACTTAACCTGGATCACTGAGATTTTCGGGCGTCTGAATAAGAATAACTTAGTCTGGTCAAGGGTTTAAGCAGTCAGATTAAAAACAACTTACTCTGGATCACTAAGAGTTTCAGCGGTCTGGTTAAGAATGTTGTCCATGAGATACTAAAAGAATATTTCTGGTTTTCAAGATGGTTATGTACATGTCACATTAAATGAAAAAATAGGTTCACTCATTGACTTACTGGCAGGAGACTCAAAAAGAAGAAATACCTCTGTAGACAATTTTTTTTTCAATTATACTCACGTCAAGCCCAAATTGTAGTCAAATAATGCACAAGAAACCAGTATATATTGCTAGTAATTGACAACTGCCACCAAATTAGGCCAATTTGTAGTGCTAGTTTTCGGTAAAATCACAGCATAGGAATAGCGTACCTCGTGGATTTCTTTCTTGCAAAACCCCAACACTTCAGCTTTTTTCTTTTCATTGAACGCCGAGCTGAACGCTTTTTGGGCAGCAGTTGCCACAAGGGGATAGGCGTCACATTGGCAACACAACCATGTTCCCATCACGCTCTTAAGATGCGGTGCAAAATTTCGACCAACTCTCGACATTATCTGGTTCATAGTATTCTGTGTTGATTCCCTCACGCGATAGTCGATATCCTAAAGTCCCGAAACGTCGGCGTAGGCGATTGAAAATAGCCCAGAGTCATTATTTACTTTAAATGGAGTAAAAGCTTGAAGATCGTTGAAAATCGAAAATCCTAATCAAAGTCCCAGGGCCTAAGACTTTTGACTACTAGGAAGGGCGTAGAAACGTTTTTCAAAATATAGGGAGGGAGGGGGACCTGGAGAGGCAACATCAAAGGCGCAAATTATACATTTGGAGACTTTACATTACCGAAAACGACAGGTTTTCTAGGCAATTATTCTCCCCTTTAACACTCCCCTAACTGTGATAGCAACATACCAAGGATAGTTTATTGTACAATCTTGGCCAATATTTCAACATGCCAAGGACGTCTTTTGTTTCGCTGGTCTTGCATAGTTCACCCAATTCTTGAACAGCCTGTATGTAAAATAATTAACAATCATTACTGGGAGGTATTTTTATTTAGTTTGATTCTTGTAAATAATGGTATACCGCAATGTACAATAGCTACAATTCATTTACTCAGTAAATACGTCTTTACGTTAGTATATTTTGAATAATTCGCATCAACTTCACAACATAATTTGTTTAGATATTAAAATTTAAAAAATTAAACTGCAACAAAGGCTGTGCATACTATGATGCCAGATTTCACACCCCAGAACAAACTAACTGCAATGAAAATAGCCATTCACAAAATATTCACATACACAATATCAATTTAGGAATGTTAGCTATCTTCTGTACAGTACCTTAAACTTAGTAATGGAATCTCGTTTGCTCAGTTTCTTCATAACAACAAAGAAGTCTGAATGAACAGAAGAATCTGGAATCTCGGAGCCAGCCTGGGAAGATTCGCTGACATTGCCAAACCCAACAAACCCCATAAGGCCACCTTGAGACAAGAGTTCCGCAGCACGACCGCTACTTGAAGGCTGAAATATAAGATATGGTTTTATTTCCACCGTTCACTTTTGTACTTTGCAACAACTTTCTTCCTTGACATTATTAATCATTATTTCAAAATAAAAAATATGTAGATGAATTAGTGACTCTAGACATTGAAAATAGTCAAAGAAGTAGGATGATGAAAAGTTTACCATGAAATGTGGAGGGGGAAAGCCCAAAAGAACATATGCCAACAATAGGATGATGAAAAGTTTACCATGAAATGTGGAGGGGAAAAGCACAAAAGAACATATGCAAATGTATTAGTATGACTGTATGAGAATGAATCCAGGGAACTTGGGAATAATATTTGATGAAAGAATATCGTAATGAGTATGAGCATCACAACCTCATCCTCTATCACTCCTGACATAGACACTAGACTTGAGTAATATTAGAACTCAAGGATCAATATGAGATTGCTCCTGATGAAGACATTAGACTGAAGTATATAAGAAGAACTCAAGTTTCAATATCAGATCACCCCTGATGAAGACACTAGACTGGAGTATGTAACAACTCAAATTTAAACATCACATCATTCCTGATAAAGGCACTAGACTGGAGTGTACTAAGACTCAAGTTTCAACACCCAACTACTTCTGATGAAGATACTAGACTGGAGTATGTAAAGACTCAAGTTTCATCATCACACCATTCCTGATGAAGATAATAGACTGGAGTGTATAAAGACTCAACTTTCAATATCAGATGACCCCTGATGAACACACTGGACTGGAGTATTAATAGAGTATTAATATAGGAGATAAAGTTTCCAGTTTCAACAACACTTCACTCCTGATTATGAAACTAAATTGAGGTGTATAAGTAGTTAGGTTTCTCCATCTAAAACTCCAGATACAGACACTGCACTCAAGAACTTAAGTACTCAAGTTTCAATTATTCTTGATCAAGAAGACAGTGAAAACGCTACATTGAACAACTAGATTGTTGTACATCAGAACTCAAGTTTTAACATGATGAGGATTATACAAACGATTATATAACGACTGATCATACCCATGCTCACATCCTATGGTACACGTATACATAACTATCATTCTATTAACTTTCTTAACTATCAACTATCATGTAAATGTTCAATAATTTGCTCGCGCTTCGTCGACGGTAATACATATTACAATTATATAATTAGTGCCATACTTTTGTATTGCCTTTTGTCCTTTGTTTCACCTTTCCACCACTCATTATACACAATTTTTTAGCTTGCGAGCGAGCTAAATGGATAAATAAAGTACATTAACCATTAACCAACTAAATACAGGAATGGCATAGTCGTTTCATTGAATATTACATGACGTTTTTACAATTTATCGCGGGATCATGAGACCTTTGACCATCCTTTGACCCTTCATTTTGCGGGAAAATTAAAATAAGAGCAAAAGTAATTTATAAATATTTTGACCTGTTATTAATAACATAATCGTTGTTGAATTTGGATCTCCTCATCTCGACCGGCAATTGCATTTTCGTTGTTAAATTTGGATGTTTCGTATAAGTAAGGAGAGTTAATATACATGTAGAAGCTGAAGTGAGAGGGTTGAATAACAACATAAAAGTTAAAAATATACTGTGATTTTAATTCAAATAATTAGTTTTAAAAAAGTGTGAATGTACCATTTAGGATACTTTATTTTTAGCTGGAATATTTCGAGGTACAATAAAAAACAACATCGATATTGTTATGAAAATGTTATTCTTACAATATTTTTACAAGAAAATAAAAGTATTGGAATATGGTAATACATTTTTGATTGTGTAATATTCTTTTCCATTTAAAAACGATACTTATATCAATCAAATCTCAACAGGTACGTCATTATGTTTCTGACAAACAATTGAATAAATTTGGTGTCTGTTGATTTGAAATACTTGGCATGTGGCTAAGCTTATGAATGCTATCTTCCAAAGTAAAACAGGTAAAGACATCGAGCATCACAATGCAATATGACCCAAAACAAGATTTTATAAATGCATTCAGTCTGTACTAAGTGCCTCCACAAAATCAACTCGAAGAATAGATGAAAGGCATGAACAAGAAGAGTAAGGATGTGGTGTGTTGCATTCAAACACAGTGGGGGTGTTTTGACATGATGGGCATTCAAAGCATGCAAAAGATACATATTGTAAAAAACATCAAAGCAGCTGTTGAACAAGAAATTATCTGGTTTGCCAAACATATGTACATTGTTTAACTTGTACATTTTAACAAATATGCAACTTGTAAGTTTTCAAGTTAATGAGTTTCAGAATGCACAAGCAAGCATAATAAATTCAATAAATTGTCCTGCTTAGTGCTAAAAGGCTGTATAATTTCTACCATTGTGACTGCATTTAAAGTTATGTAAAAATAAAGGAAACATATTGCAAAACTTGTGCAAAACTTCAACAGATAGGAAGATATTCCATTTGTATCTGTTGAATGTCTCTGCCTTATTTGTTTATTTGTAATACAGCCATTTCCTACTCTTCTGTAAGGTAAAATGGTATTTCTAATACCTCAACAAAATTATTTGATTGTAATTTAGGTACTGGTCCATCTTTCTCAACACCCAAATTCTCCAAGTCTGCAAGCACATCATTTATAGCAGCATAATTAGTGTTTAGACCTGCCACCAATCCTTTTACCTAAAGTTGTATTGGGGTATAACTGCATGTTGAAGTGACTGGGTGACTGTTCCATTCTTCAACAAATGCATTTAATGCTTCATTAACAAGGGGCAAATATGCTTAGTGTAATGCCATGAGATAGAGTTCATTGTTAGGATCAAAAACATTTTGTGTTCCAAATATAGAAATACATTGAAAAAACTACTAACTATAAAGCAAGTAGTTTTTCTCCACAATCTCTTGATGCTTTGATGTCTGAGCTCCCAGTAATAAAGTTTCCTTTGTTCAACCACGATTAACTAGCATGAATCTTCCCATGCCAATATTTTCCACTCCATAATCTGATCTTACCCAAAAATGAAAATGGTAATTGGCAATAGTACCATGAAACAACTGAAAAACAGTGGTAGCCCTGCCATTATTTGATGCATGTAAATACACAATAAGCCTGGAATACCCATCAATCCCACTGTGGATTACAATTCGATACGGTGCAATCAATTTATGATTACCATCAATGTGCCTATATTAAGAAAAACAGTGCTGTCATAACACAATCAAGATGATTTTGAATTAGCATGAGCACAGTATAAATATGTTATCCTTCCATTGTGAGTCCAAAAATCATGCAGCTCTTCAAATTACTTGCGAGTACTAAAATACCTGTAGAGCATTTTTTGTCTCATGGAAAACATTTTGATACCTCCACAGAAAATTGGGACAAGGGACATTATACATACGTCTTCAGTGATTTAAAGCACTTGTAACTGGGTCAACTCTAGAAATTACTACTGTGAAGGAACATCTTCCCTAATACATAAAAATTACCATCAGAATCTGAGAGATAAACGTAACGTTCTGAGGAACATATGACAGAGAAAAGCAATGTGAAGAATAGTGTGGTAGCTGAATAGTTAGCTCATTTGAACATTGAGATCCTGATCCATTGTAGCTATTGCTCATGGTCGACATGCTTTCTGTATCAGACCATACATTCAAAATGTTCAATTTCACATGACGTCGTCTGTGTGCTGTGATTTGTGGTTGAAATGAACTCAACCTCCGTACCTTAACATAAAATTATCGTATTGCTGGATTGTTTACAAAAATCAAAACGGCCGAAATGGAAGATCCATACCTCTACTTATCATATTTGTTTAAGTGGTTTTTGACCTTACGTGTTTTTGCGGAGGGATTGTTATGTCTGCTTGGCATTTTACATTGCGCTTCTAAGGTATAACGAATTTTCTATGAGTTAAAATAACATAGAGAAGATCAAACGACATTAGTCTGAATCAGTTCGCTCATTTATTCTCATTATTTTTTTGCTTTCTTTCATGTGATGGCCTTTTTCGCAACAATTGTAGGATTTGTTTTTGTACATGCATCTCGCGTTTCGCAAATGAATAATGAAAAAATATTTTATACAAATCACGAGAAACTTTGAGATTTTTGTGGTCTTCTGAACAAGAACTGCATCAAATACTTGTCACGTTGTAGCATATTTGACTTCGTTGTAATGATTGTGAAATGGCAAAAGTGCAAATAACTAAAACACTTAAATTACAATAGTGTTTATAACACTTGAATAAATGAATACACAGTTGTGTATTTAATACTTCTCTGTGAAATTAATGTGATAACTTACTAAATTTAAACAAGTAATGAAACTGCTTACTTTGAGTTATTTTTGATTCGTTACACATATCTACTAAAATGTTCCACGTGACTCGTGACAGTAAAAGTGTTCTATTTGTTTGCGTTGAGTAAAACTTTTCTTTTTTTGAATGACTTAAAATTATCTTGTGTTGAGTCCTACATAGCTATCTTTAATCTTGCTTCTCTTCTTTGGTTTATCACATATTCATATTGACGTCAGACGTCCTATTAACTTAACTCTGTAGGCAAAACCACTGGGCCGAACTCAGACTTCTTAACCCGATGTTCTATGTTCAATGTCAGATTTCTTCTTGACTCAATTTCTCTGAACTCGATCAATGAGATTGTCCTAACTTGTTTCTTCTTTCTCGAGCTTTGACTTCTTTTTCCGTTCACTTGTTTTTTCTTTGACGTCAATGTACATCGACTGAACATATAATACCCTTTATACCCACGTGTGTTTATAAAGCACTGCGACCTTAGAAAGACAATAAAGGTATATGTGGGGAGGTTTAATTGTAAAATATTACGAGTATCAAATGTATAGTATATAGTGTTTCCTAAAATGGCTGTGATTAATTAACACATTTGCTCTGTATGAGGAGCCTTCGCACCTAACCGACGAATAGCAACGTTTTCAAAAACAATAAAGCGAGATGACTTTGAATCACCTCGAACCGATGGCCACTTGTTTTCCTGATTAGACGAATAATAGCACAGATGAAGTGTTCACACGATCATTCGTGTTGATTGAACGATTAAGAGCTTCCGTATAAGAAATAACGACTTCTATGCAGTGATGTGGTGGCGAGTCCGGAGTAGGTAAGTCAAAATACATTACAATATACGTTTCAATTCACAATACTTTCCTAACAATCTTGTTGGTAAAAATGTTTCTTGAAAATATTTTCGCATGCTAATGCGAAGACGCACCTACAAGCAGATAATGCATTAATTTTGTAAATTTAAAACCGCGATCAGCTAGCTGACTTCGATATAGCAGCAGCACTTGCCACACTCCCATCGAAATATAAAGTGAATAAACGGACCATCGACATAAGAGTGCCAATACAACGCTCTTGTCAAGTCCTTAGCGAATATTGTGCGAGTATTCGATTTAAAGTTTAGGCACTTGTTTTGTCAACCGAGTGGTCGAAAAAGCAAAACAAGTGTAAAGTTCGCAATGTTAAAAAGTGCTCGGGTGAAATCTGTTTTAAAGGCATTATTTCGGCAAAAATGGTCTACTCTTGTACATATTTCAAAATTTCAAAACGTTTGACTCTTCAAAGCGGCATAGAAGTGTTTCTTCACGCAGAACATGCAATTACAAATCCTGTCAGGAATATATGTAAGATTTAATGTGTTGCCACTTAAACCTTTCAGCCAGAAGGCAAAATAACCATTTATAATCTAGAAAGAGCTGTTTTCATTTAATTTTTTCTTCAAATGAGCACGAAAAACATATGCATGGTAAAATTAAAAGATTGGACTTGTCTTTGATGCATTAACCTTCAACTCTGAAATACGTCATATCGACCAACATGAAACAATAATTCAAAAGAAGAGTATGTAATTTAAATTTTTAAAAAACGGCAGATACTTTGCACACGAAACATATCTCCGTATCTAGACCTTAAGGCTGATTTCCATTCTGTGCAAATTGTCGCGCGATCGACCTTTTCGATCACTTTCTTTTCAACTGCAAGCTTTCGACCGGAACAGTTTCGCACTGCTGCGCACAATTCAAAAGAAATGATCGCAAAAAGTCGATCGGGCGACAATTTGCACTGAATGGAAATCAGCCTTAAGAAAGCGTATACAACATATCGATATTCGCACTTTGGAAAAAATTTGCACGAGTGCTGTAATTATCAACCTATCGTTAACGTCTTTAAAACAATGTATTCTAATTGCAATAACGTGTGTTTATGAGCTCAAAGTCTCATATTGAGAGCGTCCTGCTTGCAGATGCCACCTAAATCAGTGGCGGCTGATAAGAACTAGTTCTCCTAATGTTGAGTTTATTTTACAGTTTCAGCAAGTTACTCAGCTAAATAGTTTTGAATTACTATACAATAATGGCGTGGAATAATTCTACGATCCAAGCGTCTCAAAATATTTCAAACAACACATATTCAAGTGACGACTATGGACAGGAGAATATAGCCGTTAAAGTAACGAAGTTTATTCTGTATGCATTCGTCTTCGTCGTGGGTTTTGGCGGCAATTCCATGGTTATATGGATGACGATATATAAGAAAAAAGTCACCCGGACTTTTCATAATTTGCTGTTATGCAATTTGGCAATAGCTGACATTTCCTTGCTCGCAATAAATCTACCGTTTCGTCTTGCCTATCAAGAAAACAACTACGTTTGGCCTTTTGAAAGCGTCTTGTGCAGAATCATACCGTCGTTCATGTATCTTTTTCTGACGTTGTCTTCGTTGACATTGATCATGTTGTCTTTGGAAAGATGTAGAAAAATTAATTCTTCGACCGTTACGAAGGATACTGTGACAAATTTTCATATCTTGCTGGTGTCTCTGTTATGGGTAGCCTCTTCTGTAGTAACACTTCCGTTATTTATTTTTCTAACTGTGGTACATCGAAATGGAAATCCTGTGTGCTCAGACATATGGCCATCAAAAATATTCGAGCAAGCCTACTTCACGGTCTTATTCGTAGTAGAATTTTTTATTCCTACTATCGTAATGATCTTCGTTTATGTTAATGTTGGAATAATACTGCGAAGAAGTCATGGTAAACTTCGAAAACTTGGACTGTTTAATAAGAAGAACAAGCATCGAAAGGTAAGGATGTTGGAATGTATTCGCGAGAATTTATCAGTTGCATGGAAGTTTCAGGATCGATGCAAAAAATCCATGAACGACGATCACGCATGCTGTCATGCGTACTTCGACATGCACTTTTTCATTTTATAGCGAATAGTCCACGCACTGCTAAGATATGAAGTTTTAATGTTTGATCGCATCCAATGAAGAGAATAGATCAAACACGCACGAGTACTTCAGTTCTAATACAAAATCATTTATTCAACAAAAAATGCTACATTAAGTATAAAAGAACTAAATTTGTGTCATTACTTTGTGGTCGATTTCGAACTGAAACCATACAAACATCGTCGGATCACTAATTCTAAAGGCACTAGACTGAAGCACCGTATATCATTCATTTTGTCTCCATCCTCACATAAGCTCCCCCTTCTGATAGTTTCCATTTGAAAGATATCAAGTTAAAGTAACCCCCTCCTTCACTTTATTACCCATTATTACCAAATTAAAAAATCGCTGGAAGTCAATCTCACAAGAAAATCATAGCAAAATACGAACGCTAATTGGTTATCTTCCTCGATACAAGCGTTAATTTATTTAATCAAAACTTAGTAGGAAAGTAAAAAAATAAAATATTTATAATCACTTGTTTTTTGTCACATATCAAAATCAAATCTTTTTCCTTGGATTTTTCTTGCTTTCAGAATGCACTTTTGCACATACTGGATTACGGGTATTTTAATAGAAATCAATGTCGAGGAATGTGTTGCTTGAATTAGTATGCACAAACACTTTTGTGTGAAAATTTTTAAAGCTTCCAGCCTCATTTCAAGGTCCCCATTCAAAGGCCCTGTTTAGTTTTTACACGAGACCAGAACAAAGTGAAACCGGGATTAAAATCAGAACTTTTTGAATGTTTACATAGGACCGGCACATTATAACGAAAAATCCTCTTCTGCGTAACGGCTCCTTAGCAGGCTGATATGACACTTGGCTGCCATTTTGCTTTTGTTCTTTGCTTTCGTGCGCATGCGTTGTTTCCACTTCAAATCGGCAGAACCTGTGAACCATAATAACTGGAAGGCTATTTTTGAAGCCAACACTGAAGCTTTTTGTAGGTATGATACAGGCCTTTACACAGTTCTATAGGTATGATCTATTTGATCTATTAAATAGGTTGTATGCCAAAAAATCATGTAAACATTTTTCCGACTGAAAATAATAATCGTTAACATCCTCAAATCATTGCTCGTTGCTGTATTCCGTTTGTCACTGCTTACTTTTGAAAAAAATCAATGTGTTTTTAAAAGTTCTTTTACACAACTATCGTAGGTTTAAAAACACGACATTTTAAAACGTAAATTGCCACAACATATTGAAAAAATTTGGTTTTCTATATTCGTGACAATCCACGCATATAACACTCGTGTTTTATACCTGCAAAAAGTCACTCTACAGTCACCATATTTGCTTCATTTTAGACATCATATGGCTTTTGCATTGTAGTTATCGCTCCAGTCTTTTTATGGTTCAATGGTCTGAACGTTAATTTGAGTTTACATTAATGGTGGTTTCAGTTAATATCGCTCTTAACTCAGTCGAATCGGTTCAGCAGACGGTACGACTTGTAAACGTGGCCTAATAATCTTGCACTTGAAATGATGCAAGATATAAAAATCCCACTGAGGGATTAAAGGAGGAAATATAGTATAATAGGAACACATATCTCAACATTACAATTCATATCACTCCTTATAAAGACGCTCAGTTAGAGTATACGAAGACTCAAGTCACTTTAGACAAAAAACTATGTATTGTGGCAGTAGAGATTTCCATCATTACGACACTCTTGAAGGCGAAGCTAAAAGAATTAGAATATCTTTCCAAACATTTTATTATTCCCTTTGAATATCAGTCCTAGTATAATGCCGTTATAGTGCCAAACCATTAGAATATTTAGCAAGCAAGATGTTAATGATCTGCAATTGTATATAGTTTCATTCGTATTTAGACTATATGTCTCTCCTATCATTACAAAGTAATTGTAATTTTTTGAGCAACACCTATATGTACGAGTAAAATTCAAAATCGTGGATGATATTTTCTCTTGTATTTAGACAATTCGCATGATTTGTATCATCGTCATAGTCTACGTGACTTTGACATTACCGTACCACATTACCTGGCAAATAGGAACGTACGGAAACATGCATCCTCATGCCAAAACATTCTCCGTGCTCTTTCTGACGGCAACGAGCGCTTCGCATCCTATCATTTACAGTACATTTCACCGAGAATTAGCCCGTGGATTTAAGACTATTTTATGTGGTTGCAAGAAGAAAAAAGCACGGGAAATCCCGCCTGGAAAACTCGTGGCACTCATGTACAGGAGTGGTGGAGAAACTTCCAGTCGTGATAAGGTATTTAATACGACAATAAAAAGTCGCAAGGATATTTCCACGTAATTAAATGCATTGCACATTTGACCATCAGGAAATTTCAACTTTGGCGGGATGTATGACGTGATTTCGGTGACAATCCTAAGAAAATTTAGGACGTTTCACAACATTAAACTAAAAGTATTTTCATGTTTTTTAGCTTCTAAGTAAGCGTGATACAGGACAAAGATAAAGTCTAGATCTAGCAAATCAGCAGTACCACTATTTTATTAGCTTAAAACTTCGGGGACAGAAAATGTTTCTTAGAGGAAGGGTGAACAATTTCTTTGCATGGGTTAAATACGATATTTCAGGGGGTTGCACTTGCACACCTTGGTGATTATCGCGTCGAAGAGCACAATTGACGCGAAAGCTGTTAAAGACATTTTTCATCATTAGTCATGCATTATATATTTAAGCAACACCTATATTTCAAGCGTAAATTCAATGATTTTGACCTTGTAAATGATACTTCCTAATTCTTTGTCTTCTCAGATTTGCTTTCATTCAAACTCATGCTAACTTATATCCAATTTTTATTCAAATAATATTATAAGGATCATATATCATTAGCTATTAAAATATCCAAATAATTAACTTTCCAACTATATGTAAAAAATCAACTATTTTTAAATCGTTGATTACGATAAAAGTTGTATAAGACCCAATTAAGTAGCTATCTTGCATAGAGAAAAGCACATGCGATCGATCAATTCAAATCTTTAGAAAGAAAATTACGTACCAGCAATTTGCCATCTGGCATCTAGTTATATCACAAAATAAAAACAATAAAATGCGTCGGCTGATTGGCCTATTCAAACCAATCTGAGCTGAACCAATCAAATCAATCAATCAAACAATCAAAGTAAATTTGTGAATCCCATTAAGAAATAAAAGATGTTTATTGTGTTTGCACAGGCTTATGCAAACCGAGGAGACCTTTGGGAGAACTCGAGAGCAGATCAGCGTAAGCCCGAGACCGAAGGTCGAAAGTTTCACATACTCGAGAGTTCTCACAAACGTCTGCGAGGTTTTCATAAGCCAGTACAAACACGAAAAACATCTTTTATTTCTTTTATAAAATAACAATAATTCGAAAGACAAACATTTTAATTTTTCATCTAAAATTTATTCACGATCGATTTGAAAATTCTTTGACTAATTTATTGTTTAGATTTGATTGGTTGAGCTCAAATGTGTTTTGCACTGGCTAATGCAAACTCAGCTCTAGACCAATCAGCGCACGCGTTTCATTGTGTTCATTTTATAATCATGAATACAGTATAGAGAAAAGTTAAAACGTTTGCTTTAAATTTGTCTGTTTCGCGTTATTGTTATTTTATAAAGAAATAAAAGATGATTTTCGTGTTTGCCCTTGCTTATGCAAACCTCAGAGACGCTAGTGAGAACTCTAGAGCATGTGTAAATAGCGACCATCGGTTTCAGGCTTGCACTGACTAGCTCTCGAGTGCTCCCAAAGGTCTCCTCGGTTTTCATAAGCCTGTGAAAAATACACTAAACATCTTTCATTTCTGAAACGACTTTGAGATTACGATAAAGCTAAGAAGCCATGTAGAACGAACATCCCTAAATCATATCGTTCTTGTCATTACTTTTAACTCATTACAAGTCTCTCATACGAAAGCAATACATTGTATTTAAAAAGAGCAATGTCCCAATATGTAGCTGTGGCGTCTACGTGGTCATTTCCTTTCGCGTGAAAATCTTTCAGAAGAAACGTTAACTATAAACAGTATAGTCGCTACATAACGTCGAAGAAGTAGATTACACAAAAGCAACCAATGTACATTTGAAGACTTTGACGAACCCATGTAAACTACTTAATATTTAGAGAGCTTTAAGTTGATAATGGCAAATTTGTACTCCCTTTTATGATTAAAATGGTTTTCAGTATATAACGTCAGTGAAGAAGATTACACAAAAATAACCCTTACATTTAAATCATTCATGTAAACAGCGTTAGATTTACTGAGCTTTCCTTTGGTATTTGTATATTTATACCATCGTCTAAGACAACAAAGTCATAAGTCTTATTATTTCATATAGATTGGCGATGTATATGCATAACTTTGTTCAATTTCAGTTTTATTGAACATGTTTTCTTGTTGTTAGTATACTGAGCCCCGTTGAACTCATGAAAGATTTCTCGAATTAGTGAAATTGTATACGAAGTCTGGTTGAACACAGAATCACGGACACGAAGAACAATATTGCGTCATACCATAGGCAGCCCATAACTACGGGTTTTTCGTAATAAATATGAAATAATTAACCTTTCTTACTCCTGATTCACAGCATTGAACAACACCGGATTCGTTTACAGATTGAGTTATACCACGAGTGGACAAGACAAAAATATTTAAATAGAATTGCACGACAAACAGATAGTGAATTTGCTGCTTATTTTCTTCAAGTTTTGAATGAAAAGAAAAACGTAGCTATAGTCCTACGTCTATAATTTACAACTACAAACCTTGTAAATCGCCATTAAAAAATAACAACGTTGAGTTTTACATACAATAGCTGTATTTTCTATGCATTTCAATATAAATATGTTCTGCAAAGTGAAATTTATTTGTACCTGTGTCCGTTTCGAAGTTTGTACCAACTCAGCACTCGCAATTATAGTCAAAATTTTTAAATGTATTTTTGCTGAATTTTTCAGCTAAATTATATGACGTAAATTAGTGA